CTTCCGTTTCTCTTAGGCCATCAATGTGTACTTACATTTACGAGTCATTAAATCATGTTTAATCTGGACTTCTCTGTGCATGCTCTTTGAGGTGGTGACCATAGACCTCCATTATATGACTGAAGACAAGAATGGTTCGACCTAAAAATGTCAAAATTGAAAATACTGTGGAAACAAAGACACCTAGATCTTGGATGCCCTTGAGGTGAACAAAAACATATCAAAAATTAATTTCAAAGTGAACTATCCCTTTAAGTCAATAGATAATATATCAAAAGGCAGATATTGAGTACATATGTAAAATGTACTGAGGTTGTTAAGAATGCAATAATTACCTTTAAATGAACTCCAAGGTGCAGGCTGGCTTCTCCTGATTGAATATGTAATAATATGCAGTGAACAGTAGCAAGGCCAGACAGGAAGCTGGGCTGAATGCTCTCCTCACACACAACTTGGCCTTCCAGTGTCCTCTTGTCAAAGTGTCTCCTGAAACAATACCACAAGTGACAAAAGTTTATTTTTTACTATACCATTTTTATGTTTCAGCATTTTAAATGTAAACTATATTTTAGTATTCAGAGTGCAGGAACTCTTTCTTTTAACTAAAATTAACAAAGGAAGTATGAAAACAAATAAGCAAATTACACACAGAGAGTAACTTAGGCTAACGTTATAGCTAAAATATATAGGATATATAGCTTATATTCGTACTGAAATATAAGGGATTTTCACACCGGAATATTAAACATAACGTTACGACACAGCAACACTCATAATCTTTTTTTTTTTTTTTTTTTTTTTTTTTTCGGCGCCCATTTTAAGATTACTTGATTTTGATTTGATTTACACCATAAAATAATCACGGCGAAGTGTGCTGATCAACACGAAGCTCGTGTGAATACCGACTGTTGTCAGAAAAGCATGTAATTCTTCTTAACATAGGAGCCCATAGATCCCGAGGAATGTGTGAAATACTACCCGCGTCTGGGCTGCTGAAGCCCCGCGCAAGTCTCCCTCACGTACGGAGGATGCGTGATCCTCGGTAACCAATATGAACCGCGAATATAACATTACCTTCATAGTCTACGAGTAACACAACATGAAAAATAAGAAACTGAAATAAGTCACTTACCAGTTGAGAATCACTCCTCTTGCCGCTATCCGAAAGTCGACGACACGACCGTTGAAGATCACAATGCCTCTGTGTCGATTTGAAATTTACAGCAATATTCTGTATTTTGAATCAAACCACCACGCGGCCCCAGAATGCATTGCAGTTTACAGCAAAATTCTGTATTATTAGAAAACAGCCAGCGGCTGTAAAATATTGCTGTAATTTTTACAGCAATTCATTACAGTGTACGTTTTGAGTGGATGATGAGCGCGAGACGCCAAAATGGATGCCCTGGCTTAGACGATTCTGAATGGAAAGTTTAGTTTTAAAAAGTTGCCAAATTGTCCCATTGACAAGACCAAGTGATCTGTGTTTTGTCGTTGTGAACTGAGCGATCATCATCGCAGCACGTTTAGTCTGAAACACCACTTGATGATGGCCAAGCAAACACACACACACACACACACACACACACACACACACAGATGATGTGAATTCTCCGCCCCCTCGTCAGTATCAGGGCCTCGTCAGTATTTATTTCACCCTTTTATTGATAGACAGTGTTATTGTGTGAGAGATTATTTATGTATGTTAGTGTGAAATTGAACACTATTTCAATTTTATTTTCAATACTAATAATAATTTAAAAAAAAATTGCACTAAACAAGCCAATCCACTTTCCCATGTTGATAAGAGCATTAAAATGAGAAAAAAATAATGTGACAAAAAGAAATCAAAAGACTTTTAGAATAGATAAAAATGTGCGATTAATCGCGAGTTAACTATGACATTAATGCGATTAATTGCGATTAAATATTTTAATTGTTTGACAGCTCTAAAATTTATATATTATTACAAATCTATGGTGCAGTCAAGTTATGTAGTATATAATGCTCTACAATGCTGTTTTTTGTTTGTCTTTTTTCTGCATCAGGGAGAGACAGAGATCAGAGTCTCCAGAATCCAGTGGTGTGTCTCTGAAGAGTAACTCATCCATGATGGAACCTCTTCACTTCAGTGAGGAACCACTGACCTCTGAACCACTGTTAATATAAACCATTATTTGATATTTTCTGCATAGCACTGCACATGAATAATGACTTAAGATGAATAACATTAATTAAATAACATTATATTTAAAATATGCAAGATATGCACTGGACAGGGCTTCACCTTGAAGAGGGGCACACTAAAACCGTATCTGGTGATCTACACATTTTCTGAAAGTCTCCACTAGTCATTATCCCTTTTACTCTTTTTTTTCTGAAGGAAGAAGACCAAAAAGATCAAAACTGAAGCAGTCCCGCAAAATAGAGACCTGCAGAGAGTTAAAGACCAGCACAAAACCAGCATGAAGAATAAAGGATATCTGGACGTGCCGGCCGGCACTCTGTCCTTCTACAGCGTCTCTGACACACACACACTCACACACTTACACACATTCAACAGCACATTCACTGAACCCCTCTATGCTGGATTTGGTGTGTTTGATTCCTCACTGTCACTGTGTCAGATTTAACCACCGGCTGTCAGACACACAAACTTGTTGCCTGTAAACTAGCTTTTAGGGCATCTACTTGCTAGTGTATATCTAGTGCAATAATATTTCAATTTGATGCATCATTGCATTGCATGTGTATGTGTGTACATCCAAGGACGTTGTGTTTGCAAAGACAGATTCACAAATTGCTGACCACTGGGGTGTCAACATTAAATGATTGCTATATCTAGTTAGAGTAAAGCTTCAGTATATTTACATTTACATACATTACATTTTACATTTTTATTTAGCAGATGCTTTTATCCAAAGCGACATACAACTGAGGTCTAAACCAAGTGAGTCATCAGGAAGAGGCAAAAACAACACAAGAAGTGCTCAAAATACATTGTTCAGACATTCCTTGTAGTAGCATAAGCCAGACGAGTGAGGATTTAAAGGAAAAGGAAATATATTTTTTAATATTTCTTATGTTAAGTGGTTAAGAGATGAGTTGTCAGTTGTCTTTTGAGTGCTGTCAGGGATTCTGCATTCCGGATGATGATGGGAAGATCATTCCACCAGCATGGTACCGTGACTGAGAATATTCTGGAGAGTGACGTTGAGGTTCTGTGATGGTACCACGAGCCGTCGCTCATTGGCCGCTTCTGCTAGGGATGTAGACTTGTGGTAGTGAGTGAAAGTAGGAGGGAGGGGGCTGAGCCCATGGGAAATCTGTAAGCAAGTGTCAACACCTTGAATAAATAACTACAATATGGATCTTCATGGGAGTTGTAAGTGTAATAGCATGATATTCAAATGAGTTGTTATTGCATAGAGAAGAGAGAGTTGAGTGTTTCCAATTGTTAGAAATGAGAAGACCAGTACTTTTTTATATTAATGAGATTGAGTTTTTTCAGGACTCATGGTAGATCTTATAAAAGCTACTTTAGATGTTGGTTAGGCAGCACTAATTTATACATTCACTCTGTTTAACACTATTCTTTTTAAAATGTTTATATTACCACATTTCTGAGAAGTTTTTTGCCACCGTGACACATTTTTAAATGTTCTAAGTTTTCTGTTTATATATTTTTGTTCCTGTATTTTGGATTTTTCCAAATATTTTGCCAGGTAAGATGAATATGAATAAGCTAAATACAAGTTGAAATAAATGGCAGAATATACATTAATGTGACTGAATCAAGCTGACTTCATTAACAGGTGAAAATGCCTATTTACTGTAACATCTGCACGGTGTAACACTGGGTTACTGTTTTTCTTCAATAAATCTTTGCACATGGTGAATCACATTCTCTGTCTTTCATGATACATCTGTAAAATTCAGATTGAGGACTGAGAGATTCAGACACTAAACATTGAGATGATGCAGTAATTTAGTGTGTGTTTAAAGCAGACATCACACACTCACACTCTGTCTGCTCTCGTCTATTTCATGTCTTTCTGATTATCAGTCTGTTTTCATTCTTCATCTTCATTGGTTACTCCCTCATGTCCTGAATGTGTATTTGGACGGGGATCTGTGTGAGTCTGTGTGTCCAGGACAGTCATCTCTCTGTGGGACACGTGCAGAGTCTATCCCTGTTGTGGATCATCTGACCGCTGAGAGCCGAGGGAGAGAACACTGACAGACACACATGCAGAATGCAGAGGAACACGATTTCAAGGTAACACACACACACTAACCTGGTTAAAAATAAAACATCGAGCAGATCTGTTAACTCAAACTCATTTGGTCTCGACTTTTGCCACATTTTACCCCAGAAAAGGGGGGAAAACATTTTGAATGATGATAACTGATCAGTTTCTGAAAGCTCAGATGATTTTAAAAAACATTATCCTCATATAAATGTATGTCATGATTAGACTGTACATTGTGAGGTATTGAGGACATCAGAGCACATGCTGATCATGTATGAGAAGTTAGCTCATGAGGGAAAACTTAGACCAACTTTTAATGTTGGCTTGAAAAAAAAAATCATGATTGGAAATGTATAACTTTTATTTTTTAACGATTATGCTTTATCAGAAAAACAGTTATTAAATCACATATTTTCCCCTGATGTCTAGTTCCTCTGTTGTTTAATTTTCCCATATACTGTGAGTGTGTGTTGTGTGTGTCACAGTTACCTTTTAGTCACTGTCTGAACTGGGCCCTCATTAAATTATGGAATAATTGTTAAAAAAATAAATATAATAGGCATAATTGAGGACAAAGTATCTTTTAGAATTATTTTCGAAGTACTCCTAAGCACTTGCTGTGTGGTATTTAATACAATATTCCAGTAAATTATCAGCAAAAGTTTTTTTTGTTGATTTTTGTTTGTTTTTTTATAAGTCAACTAATCCGATTGGATTTCCCCCTAGAAACAAAAGTGAAAGAAGAAGAGAAAATAAGTGATTCTGTTGTGAGGCTTTAAACCCGTTACACTGGATTTTTAAACGGCTGTATATTCTGTGGTAAGTTCTGAACTTATTTTTCTTGTAAACATGTTGTCATATTAAAATGAGCTGCTGTTTGATTTTTTTAAACTTTTCTTCACATGGGATTTCAATTATGGATCAATATTATTTTGACAGTGAAAAGCTCTGACCAAAGGCAAAAACATACGACTAGAAAGTAAAAATACTTTGGATATTTACTCAGACCTGTGTTATTTATCATAATATTTAAACAAATGATAAATGTATAATTGTTTTGTATTAAAATATTTATAGAGGATGTGACATCAAGTTGACACCAAGACTTGTATTGCACTGAACTTCCACTTGAGCTTTCTTAATTATAAAAAAATAGTCCTTAATGGTACAGATTACAGTTCTTTGTTTTTGAACCCTTCATAAGGTTCCATAAATAACCATGCTTTTTAATGTATGTGTAGTACTTTAATGATGCCATAAAAATATATATTATTTTGGTTTTTATATAAATGTTTTTTTTCAATGTCTCAGTCTACCTTGATTTATAAAATGTAGCCTGAATGTGGGTCATGTAAAAAACTGAACACACACGTTAATTGAATATTGAAAATAAATAAAAACACAAAATAGATTTAACCCCCTGAGCCCGACGGCGTCGTCGACGATGCCACACGTCACCTCCGATAAATGTTTACATAACTCGATGACAGATTTATCGATTTTCTTACCGTTTTTTCCAGCAGAAAGCTAACGAGCTAGCCATCACGGGGGTGTCTTTCGGGTCTTTCTAGCCTTTACAGAAGGTTTTCTATCCAGCCTGGAACTTGTGCTTCCTTTCAGAGGTTTTCAGCAATAAATCCAAACGCTTTATGTCAAACTTTGATAATCTTGAAGCCCATAATTCATAAATATTCGGTCATTTTTGCCGCTAGCTCGATGCTAGCGGACATCCTGGATATCACGTGATGTTTTCACATGATGGTTTTTGACCAATTACAGGCTGATCCGTTGTAAACATTGGTGTGCGTCATTACGCATGAACCAAGCGCTGATATAGTGTAGAGAGATAGAGAGACTCACGGAGACGCGCGATTCACAGAGAAACACAGCGAAATGGACGTAAATAAAGCGCTGGTCTATTTTGGTGCATTGCAGGATGAAGGATTTTCAGGAGAACAGAGCTTTTTGACAGATGAGGAACTAGATTACCAGGATAGACCCAGCTGAAGTGCCATTTATTTATTTACTGTAAAAAAGTATTATAGTAGTATAAATGTATTATAAAAGAATAAAAAGAACATAATAAATAAAAGAATAAATAAAATAGAAATGCAAAACCTGTGATGTGGCCCTCTGTGTGATTGCTGATAGGAACTGTTTTGAGGCTTGGCACCAGTGAATTTCATGAGGCCCCAAACGCCTGGACTTCTTTTGGAAAAATGTCAATATTTTTTGTTCTGTACAAGTTATAATGTTTATTCCTGTGCTCCAGGACTCCAAAGACATGAACAAACTATTTTCCAGAGGAAAATTGCTTAGCTTTTATTTATTTGTGTGTGATTTCAATAAATAATTGAGTGATTCCATTTCCGATTTATTTTTTCATTTGTCTTTATGGTCCCATAACTTATTTTACATTCAGGTGACATCAATGTAACACAAATATGCTGAAAGTTCAATTTGTCCTGAAAAAAAAGAGGTGTGTCAATTGTCTGTGCACCAAAGGGTTGATATTTTACAAGCTTTTTTAGTAAATGACACCAGACGGAAAATTTATTGTAAAAATACCCTTAGGTCTCAGAGGGTTAAATCATGTTTGAAAATAGCCAATTTTCAAATATCTGCACAATCCTATTTTCAATACCCATTTTTATGTGTCAGTATCAGTTCCTCTGAACAAATCATGTGCTTTTAGCATTTTGTTGTGTCGTTCCTCTTTGCAGATATACTTTTTTTTCAATAAAATATCTGAAATCAATCACTCAACTTTTTGAGAAAAGGAAGTGGGAGGACGGTGCCTTTAAAATGAGTTCTCCATCTTCTGGATCTAGCGCCATGTCTATGAAGAGTGATCAATCAGTGACGAATGATCCTGCTGATTTAATTGATGGAACAGTGACCTCTGACCTGAGGTAAGACTCTGTTTTTGCATTGAGCAGGCATTTTTATTCAAAGTGACTTTCCAGAAGCCTGCTGCCAGTGAGTGAGTGACACCTAATGTTAGATTACAGAGAAATAAATCATAAGTTTCCCAAACTTTCACTGTCACTGTCTTCACACAAAAAAAAAAATTCCCTTGGAATTTCCGAGAAGTTATTTTCGAAATTTTGTTATATTTTGGTATTCTTTTTATTTTCTCAAGAAAGAGAAAACATAGTACATTGAAGAGATTTCACCCAAAATAAAAATTCAGTTCATTATTTACTTACCAATGTGCTGTTTTAATGCCTTATTCCCTTTGAATATATCAAAGAGGAATAAATGTAAATTTAATGTGCATGCACAGTATAGCTAGTACTCTGAAATGCAGATTTGTTTGTCTTTTTTCAGTATCACCAGGAAATGGAAATCAGAGTCTCCAGAACCCAGCGGTGTGTCTGTAAAGAGTAACAGATCCATTGACCCACCCTTTAATTTCAGTGAAGGAACAGAGACCTCTGACCTTACGTTAGTATTTGTAGTTGCTAATTTACTGTATTGTAGTCCAATAACAGAGTATGACCTGTACTGGGGTGCAGATCAAAAAGGTGCACCAAAATCAATTCTGGTAACTGATATATTTCTAAAGATCTCCAACAGTCATTGTAATTTTGCTGTTTTTTTTTTCTTTTTAATCTCAGCATGGAAGAGAAACATGAGCTGATTAGATCTGTGTCGTTCTCTACATCCCACCAAACCCACATCAGACGGGACAATTCTGAATCAACCTTGAAGACACACACATTGGAGACTGGAGACGTGCAGAGAGTCAAAGACCAGCACAAAATCAGCATGAAGATCAACTATAAGATATTATTTGAAGGAACCAAACTCCAAGAGAATGAAACCCTCCTGAACAGGATCTACACACAGCTCTACATCATAGAGGGAGAGAGAGAAGGAGTGAATGAAGAACATGAGGTTTTACAGATGGAGAAAACAGCCAGAACACAAGACACTCCAATCTTCTGCAATGACATCTTTAAAGCCTCTCCTGAACCAGGACGCCAGGAGAAAGACCAAATCAAGACTGTTCTTACTAAAGGCATCGCTGGAATCGGGAAAACCGTCTCTGTGCAGAAGTTCATTCTGGACTGGGCCGAGGGAAAAGACAATCAGGATGTAGATTTCATGTTTGTGCTTTCATTTAGAGAGCTGAACTTGATCCGAGATCATCAGTACAGTCTTCATAGACTTCTGCTGGTCCTTCATCCTGAACTTCAAGATCTGGACCCAAAGATGTATGAGGAGTGTAGAGTTGTGTTCGTCTTTGATGGTCTGGATGAAAGCAGAATCACACTGATGTTTTCAGACGCTCAGGAAGTTTCTGATGTGACTGAGACTTCATCAGTGGGTGTGTTGATGTCAAACCTCATTAAAGGAGATCTGCTTCCCTCGGCTCTCATCTGGATCACCTCCAGACCAACAGCAGCCAATCATATCCCCTCCAAATACATCAACCGTCTGACAGAGATTCAGGGATTCAATGATCCTCAGAAGGAGGAATATTTCAGGAAGAGAATCAGTGACAAGCATCAAGCCAGCAGAATCATCTCTCACATCAGAAGAGCAAGAAGCCTCCACATCATGTGCCACATACCCGTCTTCTGCTGGATCTCCTCCACTGTGCTTCAGGGGCTCCTGGAAGAAGATCTGAGTGCAGAAATCCCTCAAACTCTGACTGAAATGTACATCCACTTCCTGCTGATTCAGATCAACATGAGGAATCAGAAGTATGAAGAGAGAGATCCAGAGAAACTCCTGCAGTCCAACAGAGAAGTGATTGTGAAACTTGCTGAAGTGGCTTTCCATCAGCTGATGAAGGGCAATGTGATGTTCTATGAGGAGGACCTGATTGAGAGCGGCATAGACGTCACTGACGCCTCAATGTATTCTGGGATTTGCACTGAGGAGGAATCTGTGATTCATCAGAGGAAAATCTATAGCTTCATTCATCTGAGCGTTCAGGAGTTTCTTGCTGCTTTCCATGTGTTTTACTGCTATGGAAGCACTGTGGATACCCTTAAGGTTTTTGATTCAATGCATAATCTGCTTAGAGGAGCAGTAGATAAAGCCCTTGAGAGTGAGAATGGACAACTGGATCTGTTCCTGCGGTTCCTGCTGGGCGTCTCACTGGAGTCCAATCAGAGACTCTTACAGGATCTACTGACACAAACAGAGAACAGCTCAGAGAGCATCAGGAGAACCACACAGTACATTAAAGAGAAGATCAAAGATGGACATGGACTCTCCACTGAAAGATCCATCAATCTGTTCCTCTGTCTGCTGGAAGTGAAAGATCAGACTCTGTCCAGAGAGATTCAGGAGTTTGTGAAATCAGACAAACACTCAGAGAAGAAACTCTCTCCTGCTCACTGCTCAACAATCGCCTACATGCTTCAGATGTCAGAGGAGGTGCTGGATGAGCTGGACCTCAACAAATACAACACATCAGATGAGGGGAGAAGAAGACTGATACCAGCTGTCATCAACTGCACTAAAGCTCTGTGAGTTATAATTATATCTATTTACCGTATCAAGACTCGTATGGTATTTTAATGTTTTATTTCAGTGCTGGTGAGACCATATGGTAAAAACATTTCAAGTAATTAATTATGTCCCACAGGCTTGTTGGCTGTTATCTCACTCAGCATTGTGAAACTGTGTTTCTGGCTCTACAATCATCAAACTGTGTTCTGAGAGAGCTGGATCTGAGTAACAATGACTTGGGGAACTCAGGAGTGAAGCTGCTCTCTGATGGACTGAAGAGTTCAACCTGTCAGTTGGAGATACTGAGGTATTACGGGAAGAATTACTGAGTGATCTAAAGTCTGTTTTCTATTAGAAGTCATATATTTAGATTTCCTCTTTTGTCTGTAGATGATCAGTCTGTTGATGTGTGTCTGTAGATGATCTGACTGTGTGTGTCTGTAGGTTGTCTGGCTGTATGGTGACAGAGGAAGGCTGTGGTTATGTGTGTTCAGCTCTGAGTTCAAACCCCTCACACCTGAGAGAGCTGGATCTGAGCTACAATCACCCTGGAGAATCAGGAGTCAAGCTGCTCTCTGACAAACTGAAGGATCCAAACTATAAACTGGAGATAGTGATGTAAGTGGGGCAGTGAGAGAGTTTTTTGATTTTACACTAGATTGCAAATATGTTTAAGCATGCTGATGTATATTTTAACATCACTTAAACCTGCGTGTACTGGGGGAAGACACTAGAGGGCGATGATGAGCCGCAGGGAGTTTCAATACACTATGAAACAAAAACGAATTTCTTATGTTTGTTGAGTTTGCAGAGTTACAGAAATAAAATACCATATGTTCCACCAGAAAATGCTTCAGTGTGTGCAACATTATCTATTAACAAGATTATCTACTAATACCTTAAAGGTGCCCTAGAATGGGGTTATTTTATTATTTTATAATGTTTCCTGGGTTGCCCTTATAATGTCAGTATTTTTTAGATCAAAAAAAGTCAGAATTTAGAAATAAAAGGCATTTTTCCTAGCCTGATTTTAGCTTCTGATTTGAACGCTCTGTTTGAAGGGGCGTGTCTGTGTGGGATTCAGTGTAACCGCCCACTGCTGTGATTGGCTGGCATGCTTGCATATGAAATAGCTACGTATTACATGTGAAACTCTCTCGAATACTTTTACTACAGCTATTATTCATTTTTACTATTACAGCTATCGAGATTAACGAATCATGAGATGTTTTTAAAGTATTTCTATTCCCATCACATAACAGTCTGTTGATTGCGAGACTGAAGATCTTATCATTGCATCGCAGTTTCTGCACTCTCAAATGCTTTCACCAATGCAAACACGATGATGTAAATACAGTTAGAGCTTTGTTGTGCAGTGTAACATGTATCATTGATTTCATAACAAGTTGTCCAGATAAGCTCGCGCTGTGTGGAAAGATTGTTCTTTGATCAGTTTCTGTATATAATTTATTCACAATTTAAATGAGGCTTTTTTCATCTTACTAAAAGAAACAATGTGAAGTTGTTATTTTAGTCACTGGCTTGACTTACTGATACATAAACAGTATTGAACGATTTTGAGACAAATATTATCTGTCTGAACTTGAAAAATTACACATCAGAAATTGTTGCTTGGTAGCTCGATCGATTTATTTTCAGACGTTCATCGAGGCCAGCTCTGTATTGGCCCAAGTTGAGGAAACAGTCCTCGGTGAAATTTTTGGACCATACACAACTTTGGGAAGTTGTGTCAGCGCATTTCCAGAGAAAATAAAATTAAGCCATTGTTTCTTCAGAGGCTCTGATGAAGGAACTAAAGAATACTTTTGTGTTCATGTGTACATCCAAACACTGAGCAACTGCTATGCTTCGGCTGTGCGGATCCGCCTGTCATTGAACATGGGCTGGCATATGCAAATGTTTGGAGGCGTACGTATTAATGATCCCGACTGTTGTGTTTTATTTAACTATGCCAAAATAAATTCAATTTGACATTCTAGGGCACATTTAACATTAAATCTGGTAAGTTTGCATTGGTGACATCATGTAAATGATATGCTGCCCGTGAGACTTCCACTTGGACTGTAGTGCGGCCCAGTGGGAAAAAAGGCTGAGAACCACCGCTTAAGAGTGTCGGGTTGTGTGTCATGGCTCATCATTTGTAAAGAAATTGCTTTAGTTATTTATTTGTTGCACTATTTTTAACTGGCTTTGTTGACTTGATACAGCAGAGTCCACAAAGCTCAACATTTTCTGTGATATCAAAGTGTGAAACTGTTGATTTAATATTAAGTTAACTTAAACAACAACAACAAAAATACAATACAACAACCCCCTTTTTTTCAATCCTACTGGTATTTGAGAGAGAGACTGGATGGTTAAAAGGTATCGTAATTTTCAGTAACACGTTTGAACCAGTATATACAGTGCATTATGAGCCATTCACCATGTTGGAAATAGTAAACATGTTGAAGAAGTAAATCTGAGAAGTAAATCTTTTAAAAGCTGAGGTGAAGAATGATTTCATTATTATTTTTGATCCATACTGGTGGTTAAGACAGACTACATTTTGTGTGCATATATCTTAAAAATGTGAAATGTGTATTTTCTTTTTAGGGGAACAATAGCTTAAATATATCCTTAATGCTAACCTTTACTCTAAAAAAAAACATGTGTTAATGACTTAATTTCAAATGTTCATAATTTTTCCTCAATCTATGTTGTTGCCGCTATCTATTTTACACAATAAGCATTTCTAAAACCATTTCAATTGAACATTAGTTTTCAGTCTATTAAACATTATTTTTTGTGTGTATGTTTTTTGTTTCTGTTCAGTTTAGATCATGAAGGACATTTCAGGATCACACCAGGACTGAGAAAATGCAAGTCATTACACACACACACAGAGAGAGAGAGAGACAGACAAACAAACAAACAAACACACACACACACACACACCTGTGAATTTATTTAGTGTCATAGATGTTCTGATCTCTCTTGTTGTCTTCAGATGCCTGTGATCTCACACCGGATCTAAACACAGCACACAGTCAACTCACTGTGATTAAGGGGAACAGAGTTGTGGAGCACAACAAAGAGTGGAAACCGTATGCTGATCATCCAGAGAGATTTGAGCACCATGAGCAGGTTCTGTGTAAAGAGAGTCTGACTGGACGCTGTTACTGGGAGGTTGAATTGAGCGGTTCAGTTCATGTAGCAGTGGCTTATAAAGGAATCAGCCGGAAAGAAGGGAGTGAGTCTAGGTTTGGACTCAATGACAAGTCCTGGAGTCTCTTCTGTAGTAATAAGGTTTACTCTTTTTGGCACAATAGTAAATGCATTGATATATCTGGTCCTTCAGCCCGCTCTAATAGAGTAGGAGTGTATATGGACGTGTCTGCCGGCACTCTGTCCTTCTACAGCATCTCTGACACACACACACTCACACTCTTACACACAACCTCTGCCACATTCACTGAACCCCTCTATGCTGGATTTGTAATTTATCCAGATTCTTCTATGTCTCTGTGTTAGGAACCATACTTTAAACAAAAAAAAAGATATGGAAAAAAGAAAATTGTAACTTTATTATTTGGAATTGTAACTTTCTTTCTCACATGTGTGAGATTTATAGGTGCAATTCCAAAAAATAAAGTTGCAGTTATAGGGCCCTATTACACACCAGTGCAATGATGAGGCTGCTGGTCTGAAAAAGAGGTGTGTGTTCAGACGCATTGTTGCGTTTTTTATGGAACTGAAATAGACTAAGCCATTGACCAACTGAAACCTGGTCTGAAGTCAATGGCACAATATCTTTTTTTGTTATTTAAATAATGCGTTAGTAATAACTATAGGCGGGACCACAACGCACACGTGTACACTCTGCTTAGAACACAAATAAAAGGATTACAATGTAAAATATTAACATTGTGAACATAAAGATATGCACACACAGCTTTAACTTTCTTTCTAGAGAAGCGTTCAGTCTTACCACTTGCAAATTTCACCATGTAAATAGCGAATCCGCCATGACGCGAGCGCAACTGGCATTTAAAGGGAATGGGAGATGAGACCCTGATTGGTTTATTGCACGTTACACCCAGAACACACCCATTACTCAATAAGAGAATAGGGACAACCCTTTAGACTATGGGCTGCACGCGCCAACCATTTTTCCCGTCGCTAAACTAGCAAAAGTGATTTCGTACACCATAAGTGCACTTGAGCCCTGCGCTTTAGACCATGCGCTTATATCATTAAAATGTCAGATTGTAATATACATTTACTTTGTGAGATACAAAGTCACAGTTACTGTATGAGAAAAAGTTGTAATTATGAGATACAAAGTCAGGAATTTCAAGATTTAAGAATATATTACATTCTTTATTACATTCATATTACATGCTCTGTGTGATACTTGATTCTGCTCTCTTGTTATCGCTCCCACCTCACGTGCTGGAGACGCAGATTTAGACCCGCTCAACAATTGGTCAAGCAGCAAGTTACGTCACAGGAAACACACCCCTGAGCGGTGCGAGACCAGAGATATACGGTTCTTTTCTTGAAAATTGTAGATGTTTTTTACTTTTAATTGTATAAAACTTTCTTTGCTCAGCTTTGATGGTGTAAAATCCTGAAGATCAACTGCCACAGTGTAAACAACAGATTTGTCACATTGTCCATTACTGGGCTAACGAATGAATCAATGGACTATTAAAAATATTTTGTGAAGATTGGCTTCAGAATGGCTATTTCTGATAAATGTTTTGTTTTTTTTACACTCTAAACACTTTTAAACCACTGTTAATTAATATGTGCTAATTTTTTATCCTATTTATAAAGTGGGAAATAACCTTTTCATATTTTTTTTTCTGACATCCTAATCTTTGCCACCTCTTCTCTGAAGTTTTCAGGTATCAGGTGTGGTCGGATTCTTGTTGTGTGTGAGTCAGTATTCATCAGGGTCAAAGGTCATGGGCTTTAGAAACACTCTGGGCTCTTTATTTGGTGATTTAATTTAGTGTAACTTTATAAAAGCTACTGTAGATGTCGTCACTGTTTCAGAGGATCCACAGGCTCAGTTTCATCCTACTGGATTGTCACAAACTGTTACTGGAACGTCAGTGTGTTTTCTCCCTGATCAATATATTATGTAGATAAAATAACCTCTGAAATAAATGTCTGTAACAATGAAATGTAAAGCCATTTTGGCTCTTTGTTTTAACACTTGTCTTTATGAAATTATGTTGCTACAACTGTTATTCTTATTGATTATATTTTCCTTGATCTAGTTGTTTTGCTACCTTGACATTTAATGTTGTAATTTTAAATTTGTGTTCTATTTTACATGTTTTATCAAAACATTGTTACCTAAAAATGCAATTAATTTGCTCAAATCTATTTCAAATCGTATTCTACTGAGGATAAATGATGAATATAAATCATTCTGACTTAAGACTCATTATGTTGCAGCGAAGAAAGTAATTTAAGCACCAGATTAGGTGAAAATGACTGATCTAAAAATGAATGTAACAGTAATATGGTCTATCACAATTATGGCTTTCTTTAAGTATTTGCACATGAGTGAAACAAAGTCACTGTCTGTCACGTTAAATTACATTTGTTTTGTTTTTTAGCCACCACAGAAAGTGCATTAACGTAGATATAATATCTCTATAATTGTGACAATATCTGTCAATTAATCATGCTTCAGTCTCACAGACTTCAACATTGGAACAAACTTGTTTAATGAATTGCTGTAGTTAGAAAGGTTCATATATCACAAAATATGAAACTACAGCCAAAAATAACTGAAACAATCACATTTATTTGATGAGTCACTTTGAAAAAGCACAACTTTTTTTTCATATCACTTTAATGCTTTCCCCAAAATCACAGATATGAACTCCAACACCTTTTAAAAGGTTAAACGCTTAACAGAAAGTAGAAAGATACATTCCAGATTAACTATTCCCTGTAACTGTGTACACCCAAAATTACTCACTCATAAGGAAAGGAAATCTCTGCCCACAATAAATCATATAATATGGACTGATTAATCAATCATCAAACACATTTGTTATAGCATAACTCTTAAACATCACCTGTTAACCACTAGTGCCTATATATCCAACAACACCACACTGTGTGAAATAAAAACAACCAGCAAATAAAGCTACTCAGACAATATTATAAATCAGCCATTATACCCAAATATCCTACTGTAAATGTAAAGAAACGCATCAAGTATTTGTACTTGTAATTTATTTATTTATTTTTGTCATCTGCATCTCTGTAATAAGGTCTATTCACAAAAGCTGACATCGATGCATGTGCCATGACTTCGGCAGTTCAGAGAAGGGTTGTTAACCAAATTAATTGCATGATATGCCAAGTAATAAACAGTTTATTCACACTCATGTCATTCCAACCCTGTATAACTTTAGATTTGATCCTGATCCACCTTTTTTCACTAAATAAGAAAACAAAAACTAAAAAAAATTAATTTTGGCCACAAAGTAAACCATTGATTGTGTTCTATTAAAATTATATTAAATCAATGCTTGAAATTGACAACCGTGCTTTAAAGATTAAAACCGGTCAGACTTTACTCTCTCTCACGTTTACGTTTAAGAGACTGCACAGGTTTGGCGGTGCCTATTTCAACAAGATTGGGATACTCCCCCTCACTCAGTAGGTAATGGCGATCGGTGTAGTCACGACCCTCATAGAGCTTACAGGCCCCTTTGTTCACTTTACAGGAGCGAACGCCATTCATACCAAACTGGTCCTCCACAGAAGGACAGTCAACTGTGGTGACATGCATTGGCTCCTCAAAACTCTTCTCTTCATAGAGCTGGATCTGAAATGATGTCACTCGTTTTAGAGACTGCACAGGGTTGGTGGCGCCCATTGCAGCCAGAGTGGGATACTCCCCCTCTCTCAGTAGGTAATAGGGCTCGGTGTAGCCACGACCCTCATAGAGCTTCCAGACGCCTTTGTTTACTTTACAGGAGCGAACGCCATTCATACCAAACCGGTCCTTCACAGAAAGACAGTCAACTGTGGTGACATGCATTGGCTCCTCAAAACCCTCCTTTTCATAGAGCTGGATCTCAAATGATGTCACTCGTTTTAGAGACTGCGCAGGTTTGGCGCCGCCTATTTCAACAAGATCGCGATACTCCCCCTCTCTCAGTAGGTAATGGGGATCGGTGTAGCCACGACCCTCATAGAGCTTCCAGACGCCTTTGTTCACTTTACAGGAGCGAACGGCATTCATACCAAACCGGTCCTCCACAGAAAGACAGTCAACTGTGGTGACATGCATTGGCTCTTCAAATCCCTCCTGTTCATAGAGCTGGATCTGAAATGATGTCACTCGTTTTAGAGACTGCGCAGGTTTGGGGGGTTGGCCCATTTGAGCCAGAGTGGGATACTCCCCCACCTTCAGAAGGTAATGGGGCTCGGTGTAGTCACGACCCTTATAGAGCTTCCAGACGCCTTTGATAACCTTACAAGAGCGAACCTCTTTTATACCACACAGGTCCAAAGATGGACAGTCCCCTGTGATAAAGCAGTTGTTCCCTTTAAAGTCTTCTTTATTGTAGACCTGAATCACACACTTCAAGGAGAGAGAAAAGAGAGAGGTTGAGATTACCTTGTTTGATTCGACGAGGAAAAAAGGTTTATCAAACTCTACACACACACAAAGAAATCATAAAAAGTTGTTGAAATAGCTTATTAACAACAGGCATCACCACTAAAGGCTAAGGATCAATTGTAAAGTGAACCTAATTCATTTAATGGTGTGAACAAGTGACATTTATCACTATGAAGAGTAGATACTGCTTCAGTGTTAGTTATAATAATGATAATAATAGTTTATTAAAACACACAGAAACTCAAACGTCTACAACCCACCAAAATAAAAGGTCAAGTGTAAGTCTAAAAAATTAGGAAAGAAATTGCATAGTATAAATGAACTATAAAAATCAATAATAATGAAATCTATTAAAACGTTAGTTTTAATAAAAGTTTTCATACAAGTTTTAATTCAAACAGTAAACTTCCCCCAAACAATAACTCAATTTTGTTTTTCAAAAACACCATTTCTAAAATTATTTTTGTATTTGTAAAGTAATATATAAATGTAACAAATTAATTTTATTATTATTTGTGCCTATAATGTTTTTTTGTTTTTTTTTAAATGGTGTGAAAATTGTCAGCTGATAAACCCTGTGCTTCATATATTCATATAACAACTAAGGCTAGATGTAGCTCTTAACTGGCAACGTTAGATTAGAAACAGTAGAAAATCAGTCACCCCAGCTATAAATATCACTGGCTGTTAGTTTTGTGTTGCTTATAATAAGTTGACCTGTTGATAACGCTAAGTCTTTCATAATGCTCTCAATTACATGTACTGTGAAAATTCTGCATGAATGATGAATATATGAACACACACCTCACGCCACCACTTGAAGCACTCCTTAGCGTCCTTCTCCTCCTCATCAGAGTTCTTTGTGTAGTTAACCCTACCAACATATTCAGTGAACTTCTCTGACATCAGACTGGATACCTGCGATACATGAGGAATAATATTTATCAGTGATTATACGTAGATCTAGGGAACTTGCTTTGACTTGCCTAGATGCAGGTTAGTCTTTTTGTAAGTGACTCAGTACATATTTTATTCTTAAATTATTTTAATCTCATATATATATATATATATATATATATATATATATATATAGAATGGTGATAAAATGTAAAAAAAAAAAAAAGTTTGATCTTTAAAGTAAGTGGTGCTAAGCTGTTTTACGACCATCTGAATACCACTTTAACCCATATAAGTGACTGTAAATGCAAGATGGTAATTATGTGCTTAAGCAATTTCTATGTAAGAAAGGGTACATTTAAAACTTATTTTTTTTGTTTATTTAAAACATTTTCTTGCACCCATCTCTCCAGGTTAACAGATGGTTTGGCAAATATTTTGTAATTCTAAAACAATCTATTGATATTAATGAAGATTATATGTAATTCTGCTGACATATGCTAGTTAGTACGAATACCTCATATTTCTCAATCTTGTAGCCTTTAGTACGATTCTGCTTCTTGTAGAAATAGACACTGTTGATGGGGTTTTTACGATTCTTATTATATTCCAGTGGAATTACCTGTGTGAGATTACAAGGTTAGTCACTAAAAACTGATGAAGAAAAATCTAAAGGGTGGAATTTCTGGAGATTCTGAACACAACATACATCAGTGCTGAAATCCTTCTTATCCAAGAACACATTCGGGTGACTTTCGTTCCATTCATCCACTGCTTCATTCCAGTTACGCTAGAGAATTGAGCATTAAAGTCAAACAAATTATCTACATGAGAGTGTATATTATGTATATCATTGTGGTGGAAAGTAACTAATTACAAATACTTTCGTTACAGTACTTCAGTAGATTTTTTCATTTTTTCTACTTTCTTGAATATAATTAAATTGTGGTACTTTTACTCTTACTTGAGTAAAATAAAAATAAAGTATTCAACTTCTCTACATTTATATTTCATAAAAAGTACAGAGTACTTTGACAAAGGTGCCGACCTATTGTTTACAGTCTATGGCAGGTGCCGACATTTGACAGACACATTTCAAAACCACTGCGGTGGAGCTGCGCTTCAGCCAATAACAGACAGGTCTGACTCGGGTGCAAAACCAATCAAAACCTCCAGTTCGAGTGGGGGGCGGGGCGTTCAAACCGTGCGTTTACATTCAATCACTGGCAGCTGGCGCTCGTGTTTGAATCAGTAGCGCTAACGTTTAAATTTTTCAGTGAATGTAAGTGAGTATTCTGCTCATATTTAATTATGGCAACTACTGAAATGGGTCACACCATTAATAATACCAGAGCACTGAGCAGTTGAAGTAAATAAAAAAGCTCGGCTCATAACATGGACGCGGTTTGCAATGGACAGAGCAAGAATGTAAGTGTCTAAAATACATGCACACAGTTCAATTGGTAAAGCTCTCCCTGTTTAACAATACATTTAAACTAAATATACGAAGCAAACTTTGTACAAAGCTGAACAAACAGTGAAATAAGATCGCATGATTAATCTGTCAATCAGATGCATGTAAAAGTGTAGTTCGTTCCTATAGCAACAGTGGGCTCCCAGCACATTTTCGGTTGGCTACAATGAAAAAAAGATCATTTAATTTAACATGTTGATACCCCACTTATTTTTATTTATTTATTTTTTTACTGGGATTTTTTATTCTTACTGTTTTATTGTTTTTCATACCTTTTTTATTGGACCTCTCAATTAACCTTCTTTGCTTTCAATTATGAATGATTCAAATCAAAACATTCAAATGACCTTACCTACACTTACTTTTCAAAATTAGTAATAAAAAATTGCTCTTGACAACAGAGGAAGCTAGTAGTCTATATGTGGAGCACTTTTGTCATTGATGGATGCACTTTTTTGGGGCTTCAAATTTTCTTCAGTCATTCACATTATAAAGTTTGGAAGAGCCAGACCATTTTTTAATATAACTATGATTGTATTCGACTAAAAGCAGAAAGTCATATCTTCTAAGATGACTTGAGGGAGAGTAAATCGTGGGCTAATTTTAATTTTTCGGGTGAACTCCCTTTAAAGTCATACATCATTCTTTTGAAAATACCTGACAGTTCGATAAACTCAGATATATTATAGCTATTATGTGTTTGTCTTCATGTTTCATCAGTCAAAACATCAATATTTGCAAGTTATTATATCCATATAAGGCATTTCCTGAAATGTGTAAGTTTAATACTTCTATGCATGAGCACTGGGCCTTCAGTATGAATGAAACAGATGACATGAGAGTTGTTTAGCGCTCCATTTCGCTATCATCTCCCCATTTTGGGTAAAAATAGAAAAATACTAAAGTACTTTGTAATGCAGTTACTTGAGTAGTTTTTATGCAAACTACTTATTTACTCTTACTTGAGTCATATTATATGTCAGTACTTCTACTTGTACTCAAGCAAATTTTTACTTAAGTAGCAATACTTTTACTTAAGTACAATTTGTCAGTACTCTTTCCACCACAAATATTATCAAATGAATTTATGAAATGGCAGATCAAATGCAAGGTATGATTTGTTTCATCGACCAACATACCGGAACAGCATGTTATTAGCAAATTGGAGCAAATTGGCCATTTAAAGGACAAGTTTGGTAATTTACAGCTGAAGCCCTGTTTTAAGATCTTGCTGATGATATAGAATGGTTAGGATTGTTTTTTAGACAGATGCTGCTGTCACGAGAATTTTTGGTGTCTATGTTAGCACCCCCACACCCCACAATGGTAGCATGGTGCACTGGAACAATCATTCATAAAACGGGTAAACTTCAGTTTACAAAGACGTGAAACTCACCGAGTGGTCTGGGGTGTTCACTGATATGCTCACACAAAAATCGCTGCAAAAGATGCTTTCCAACAGGTTTTATCGTAGTTTTTGTACAACTCCATTGACTTGTATTGTATGTTCTGTGATGTGTGGTATTACGTACTGCTGCCGGAAACGGAAATTGGGTTGTTTGTATTCTTTCTGTAGTCTTATGCAGTCGTGGTCATAGATATCCACAATAAAGGCTAGATGTCTTACGGTAGAGTTTCTATCGTCATCACCGGCGGCCATCTTGTCACAGGCAAGGTGATGTTAGATGAGTGATCAGCACAAACACAAATACTCTTATCTCATTTAATAACATTAAAGATTTGTTTTAAAGGAGTGTCTTTCATCTTACTTACTAAACTTAAAAAAGGTTAACACAAAAAAAGGTTTTTATATAAAGATAAACCTCATATTTCAGCATTTAAATCATCTCTATAAAAAGAATGAGTCAATAAAGATACATTCCTGAAATTTATAGTGCACAGTAGCTTATCTTTTATTATTAATAGTAAAATTCGTACAGATTTTCCCATGGCTGTCGTTGCTATAGAACCATGCACTCATTACACTAGCTCTCCACAACGACAAAGGAGTTTTAGTAGCTAATGTATTTCCACCACAGAAAAACGCTTGCTGTAGCTCTGCTAAAGAGCTACAGCAAGCGAACTGCCCGGTTCGCCCATGCCTAAAACCGCTACTGTCGTAGGTTACACCATATAAGTGGTTTGCTTGCAATTGGCAAAGGTGCATTATCACCACCAACTGGGCTGGAGTGTCTATTATTCAAGCTCTCAACAGAAGAATGTCCGGCTGTGAGGCGTTCGGAAAAATAGGTCTACAGTTTTATAACGAATGGTAAAACACCTTTTGGAAAGCATCTTTTGCAGCGATTTTTGTGTGAGCATATCAGTGAACACCCCAGACCACTCGGTGAGTTTCACGTCTTTGTAAACTAAAGTTTTATGCGTTTTATAAAGGATTGTTCCTGTGCACCTATGCTAGCATTGTAGAGGTGTGGGGGTGCTAACACAGAAACCGAAAATTCTCAGGACAGCAGCATGTGTCTAAAAAACAATCTTAACCATTCTATTTCATCAGAAACAATTTTAAAACAGCGCTTTAATTGTGAAATACTGAACTTTAAGTCAGTTTAATGGAGTGATAATGGAATGAATCAAATTCGCAAATATGACAATGAGCATTTTAAGACTAAAATGTAGAATGGGAAGTTAACATATATTTATAATATAATGATATGTTTCACTATAACTCTGTGAACACTAGAATTTTACTCACAGCAAAGATGGTCTCTTCCTCTTTTGTTATTCTGGTCTCTCCCACACACTTTGGCAGGCGTCTCCTCACAATATCCTCAAGCTCTCTTCTGGCGCCTTTCAGCTTGTCATCAGTGGAGTACAAGATCTCCTCAAAGATGTGATCTGATGGAATGAGAACAATTTTGACTGAACGTTCTGCATATTTAAAATTAAAAACTTTTCTGGTAAAGTTTAAACTTTTCTGGTCAAATGAAAACATGTTTAAATCATAACAATAAACCATCTATGAGTAAGAGTGAGATGGCTTGAACTTCAACTTGAACTTTAAAACTTCTCTTTTTCCGCTTTTGATCTTTAGAATCCTACCAGTGTTTTCAACTTACCAGTCAGTTTAATGAACCTCATCTTTTCATCTTGTGAAGAGGATTCTGAAATCTTAAGTGGGATCTTAAGTGTGTCTTTAGCTTCCAAGATGGCATTTGCGATTCTAATGAACAAATACAATAAAAAGAGTTTGTAACAGTACATAACTATGATAAACTATAAAAAAAAAAACAAAGATTATAACTGAGTAAAAAAAATAATAACTTGTCTTCAATGATGTTGACGATCTTGTGCTGGTAGGCCTGGAGATACAGGGTGTATAGGGTGTGAAACATGTCATAAACATTATCTGCCACCTATGAGAGACAAAGAATAACACAAACAGTCAAATATTAATATTGATATACATACAGTTTTCAATTGTCATTCAGAAATATTCTCAAATGTGGTTAAAGTGGAAACTTTTAAACGTTACAAAATTCCTTTTGTAAAAAATTCCAACTAAACCCACTCATCTCTCTTAAAGGTGACTTCAAGCTTTATTATTTTCAATAAAACATCAATGTCTAAAGCTCTGGTAATTCTCAATAATAACTCTTATGACAAATTGGTTTGTAATAGTATTTTGTAGTACAGTACATATTTAATATTTAATTTAATAAGTTAAATGCCATGAAACCTAAAATATTACTACCCTTTTTTTTACAGCAAAGCACTTGCAACGAGCTGCTGTTTTTAGCGTAAACTTTAGTTTAATGCCGTAAAACATAAATGTGTCTACCTTATTTTCTATGGCAACGTTAAACCTAACCTTAAGTGCTGGCAACCACAGCTGCCAGTTTTTTTAAAGTAAATTTTATTTCTATTATGTAAAACATAAAAATTGATATTGTATATTAAATTGTAAAGTACGGTAAATACAACGATATGTTTTTGTTGTAGTTTACAGTGTACTTCTAAAGTAATTGCGTGAAATGTGTGAATTATATTGCGCAAACCCAAAGTAATACTACCCACTGGATGAAGAAGGGTTGGCTCTCCACAGAACATAAAATATTCATTTTATTTAATTTTTTATGTTCACATTTATGAGGAAAAAACAATGTTACGGAGTGTGATTGGCTACATCGCTCAACGCTGAAAACATGTTATAAATAGAAACCCTGGCCAGTAAATCATTTCTATTTTGTGTTAGTTGTTCTTGTTGCTTTTCTGCAACAGATGAATAAAATGTATTTGTTTTTAGATGTTTTATTCATAGATATTTATAGTTTGCGGGAGTTCCGCAAATCGTTTTATTCTCCCGCAATCCGCACTCACAGATTGAGCGCATCACCGCCCGCGCTCGCACTCAGCCATCAAAGGATAGTGACGGGAAATATCAGTGGCCCGGGTCGGGTCAAGTTCGGGCTCGGGCAGAGAATCTAAGCAGCTCAACTAAAGCAGAGGCGGCATCTATCTATGTGAACCAAACAATAGTGTAATGATTCAGTTTGACTCCCAAGACAAGATGATGCTCACCCGACTGGCTAATAGGAACGTGGCCCCGCCCCTGACACAATTTTCACAGTGAAAGCAAAATCCTGACTCGAGAGCAAGAAATTGCATTGAGAGCAAAGAAAAGCGTTTTGAGAGAAACACTTTTTTTTAGAAAAAATGTTTTCACACTGATAGCAAAAATATGTTTATTTGAGTTTTTTTTCTTTCAAAGTATTTTGCGAGTTTTTTTTCCATCAGAAATAAATTGTAAAAATTTCTATTTTTATGTTCTATGATAAATTACTTTCTCTCAAAACCTTTTTAGTCTCAACTATTATTATTTTTTGCTATTGGTATGAAAACTTTTTCTATCAAATGTTTTTCGTATGATTTTTTTTTTTTTCTCTTAAACATTTTTATTTTTCTCAGATCATTTATTTTCTCGCATTTAATAAAGACACAATTCGAGCTCCATACACTCTAAAAAATGCTGGGTTGTTTTAACCCAATTTTGGGTCAAATATGGACAAACCCGAAATGTTGGGTTAAAAATGTAATGTAAAAATTTAACCCAACGGCTGGGTTAGTCCATATTTGACCCAAAGTTGGGTTAAAACAACCCAGCATTTTTTAGAGTGTACTTCTGCCGCCTGACCGGAAGTTGCACCCACTTTATTTTACAGTAAAAAAAACATGCTTTTTTCATAAACCCAATAACAAACTTCAACGTGTGTTTTTTTAAGCCAAAATGTTTGGGAATGTAGCTGTTGCAAATTAAATATTCATTCCTGTTTTAAAGGCAAAGGTTGTTGCTTGTTTTAACATACCTCTTAAAACTGCTTACATATCTTTTCTTTAGAATATTTCTCATCTAATGGTTGACATATGTTTAGCTTAAAATGAGATGAAAAAGTGAGTACTCTAGGGATCTTATAAGATCAACAGCCCAGCTTTGGTGGAACATTGACAAAGGAAATAATACTCACAGTGTTATCCAACAGGTGGAAAGTGATCATCCATAAATTGAGCAGTGGTAAGTTTATCATTTTTTTAAAATCTATTTATTTATTTATTTATTTGATATGGACATAACAACAGCATTGGACAAACCAGATGCATTGTTTTTTAGTGTTATAGCAAAACTGCTAATTTACAACACTTGTCCATGGAAGGCTACACATTTCACAACACACAACACAGTACAATAAACAAAACACAGTAAAAACAGTACACAGGACAATATTTAAAACGGCAAACAATACACATCATTACCATGTATTTCAAACAGTATTACCATGTGTGCAACTTTGACTAGACCTCAGCCATTGTTTCAGACCTTTGGCAAAGCATAACATGTCTGTTTGCATTTTCATGTACCTTGTCTCTGAAGCAGATGTGATTCTTCCCCTTCACATCACACACTCGAGCAGATTTCAGAATGCGCTCATGGTCAAAGCTGTTTGGGATGCCAAGGTAATGACAGTCTCTGAAACCATAAGAGAGGATATACTGTAACTGCACACTCTATTGCTTATCGATATCACTGATCTCTGACTTTAGCTGTACAGAAACAAAATTATTTTCCATTTATTTATAATCAATATATTTGATGGTCATATATAAATGTACTGTTGGGATTAAAGTGTTTGTTGTGTGAGTTTGAATGTGCTTCATTACAGGAGAAGATCAAGATACATTGAGAATACACAGCAAAATCCCCATTGTTAAATTAACACTAAGGCCCTGTTTACACAAGAACGCTCGCGGGTGAAAACGTAAAAATATTTTATCGGATGTGCCTTTCGTTTACACGGCGACAGCATTTTTGGGGCTTAAAAATGCAAAAAGTGAAACCACCCTCCAGGTTGGAAATCTTTAAAACGCTCCACCGCCACGTTCCTGTCTTAAGGGTAAAAACGCAAAAGTCTGCTTGACAGTGAAGGTTGTACGCAGGGCTGCGGACTTGGTGTTGTTGTGTGGAAGTGCTCCACATCGCCACCTACCTTAAAATGTAATGGAAAATTTTAATTCAAATTTTTGATTTAGATACGTCTAGAAATTTGGTTTCATGTACTTCACATACTTTTGGTCTTATTTAAAAAAAAAAACATAAATAAATAAACATGTAATTTGTTCACACATCAAACATGTAATTTGTTCAGATTTTTTAAATCACTTGAGTGAGAGTGTGATCTCTCTTCTAAACAATTCTCAATTTACTCAGCATTGTGTGGGTCTATATGAATATATCTGTATTAAACATTTATTGTGATATCAATAATGACATTTTAACTACCGGTATTAATGCTAATGGATATTCAAGTCCTTCACAATGTGATAATTATGTATAAATAATCAACATAAAAAAGTGTTTACCTTGCTAAATAGTCCCATTTGCGCACATCAATTTCGTTCCTTTTATTTGCCACAATGTCGTACAGGAAATCCTTCTCCTCAGGCCTCCCTGTCTGTGCCTCCAGGAAAAATACAAACAACTTCAGTAATATAACTTGGACCCTCACTGAAATGACATTGAACAAGATTTATTTTACCTTTTGATCTGCAATATCAACCCCCATTAACTTTTTAATAAAGTTGAGATCATTCAGATCACTTATCAGTTTTTTTTCCTTTACTATGTCCTGAAACAAAGAATGTGACGCCACCTTGTGCTATACAAAAAATGAAACACACACAAACAGAAATATGTATGAATAGCTACAGAAACAGTACAACACTATAACTCTTAGAAATGACATTTATCTACTCTAATTAGAATGGATTTATCTGTCTGGAAAATTTACTGAAATGCACATCCCAAATAATAATATTAATATAATAACTATTATTATTGCTCCTACTTAGATTTCCAAATACCTTCCAATACTCCGACTCTGCTACAAGGAAAGTGTTTAGTCTGCTCGGACCCTGATGTGGTGGTAAGCACTTTCCATATCAAAGGGTGGATTTTAGTATACACACACACACACACACACTCTCTCTCTAAGATTAAATCTCAAAGATCTCAAACAAACGCACCTTTTATAAATGTGGTCCAAGAACTACAACTGAATTAAGCCACAGTCTTGGATGAAATCAACTGAAGAAGACATTAAGGGCCCCATTCTAACTATCAAAGCCACATAGCAACATTGTTTTGGCCCAGGTGGGATGCAGATCTGGCCCACATGCAGCATGGAATGACAACAAACACCATCAAGTAACCGTTTTTCTTTGTTCATCTGGCTGTTATGACTCAAGTACAGCAGCCAAACAAAGATCAGAAGTTAATCCCGTAAGGGTCAAGACCCCAACTAAAGGAAACACTTATCACTATTATGGTGACTTCAAATGAAACACAGAGTTAAACCTCTGTTAATTCTCAATAAAAATTCGTAGAAGTCTGACAGAAATAAAGTCGGTCTGGTTAGTAATAAGTGAAGCTGGTAATGCTGTTTGTGGAGTTGTTTAATCCTTCTCCGCTGAGATCTTCAGATTTAATGTCTTCTTTATCTAAGACTGTGTCTAAAGTCAGTTGTAGTTGTTCTTCTCTTCTCTTTTTCCATTCTCTTCTTTCCTTCAGTGATTCTGTTTGTTAACAGGCTTATTAAGGTTGAGATGACTCCATGTTTAATACACACAGATTTTGTGGCTCAGATAAAGTCCAGTTGTGGTTTATTTCTTTTTTCTTGGCTGACATGTGGCATTGCTATGGTCTGCTTGTGGCCCAGATCTGGCAAACAGGAGTGGGCCACCCAAGGGCCGTCATTCATTGCTGCATGTGGGCCAGATCCGCATACCACAAGTGCCATATGTGGGCCGGATCTGGGCCGAAACAATGTTGCTATAAGGGAGAGAGGAACCATATATACCTCTCTGCAGTGAGAAGTACATATGGTCCTCTCACTGCTCAGAGGACTATATGGCTCAGAGGACCATATGTACTCTGAGCAGTGTTGATTTAACACTGGGGATGTGTTAACACAGCAAAATGCCCAGCGTTAAATCAACACTGCTCAGAGTACATATGGTCCCACTCTACAGACTGTTAAAGGGTTAGTTCACCCAAAAAAGAAAATGCTGTCATTAATGACTCTCATGTCGTTCCAAGCCTGTAAGACCTCCGTTCATCTCCGGAACACAGTTTAAGATATTTTAGGTTTAGTCTGAGAGCTTTCTGTCCCTTCATTGAAAATGTATATATGGTATACTGTCCTTGTCCAGATAGGATTTTTTTTTTAACCAAAGCACATAATTTGTCACAAAAGTGAAAGAAGGCAAAAAAGGCATTTGGGTTTTCATCATAATAAAATAGAATAATACACTAATCTTACACCTGAACACATTTGTCATTCATAAATAACTTTTACCTTTCTTGTCACAGATCAGACATATTGAATTTTAATTTTTAAATATATTACGGAACTTTTTTGACAAATTTGTTTCCAATTTTTTTTTTTAAAGACAAGGAATCAGCATATGAATCTCAACAATGGTTAAATATAACATGCTTCATGCTGCAATGCATGCTGGGAGGCGGGAGCCATGAGTTTTATACTATGGTGCCTCCAAGAATGCCCTGCGGCATAAAGCATGTCACCATTGTTGAGATTAATTCGTGGAATCTTGATGTCTGTGTGTCTTTATGTTAATTTACCAATAACTGATTTCAGTTTGATGTCTGATATGTAGAGAGAAATTAAAGCTGTTGAAAATAATATTTTAATAACAAATAATTTTCAATCACTGATATAAGTAATGATTTGTTGAATTTTATGATGTTAAAAACTATAGGTCTATCACCTGACCATCTTTGTTTCTGGCTTTATTTGCCACAAATTATGTGTTTTGATAAATGCTGTTATAAACACCATAAACTCACATAAAAAGTCAATAGTCAAACATCTCAATCTCAGATGATTCTCAGTAAGAACTTCTGACTCATCTGTGTTCAAAGGGCTTACAGATAGGTCAATTGTATGTTATATATATAAGATAGTTTTGGTGCTTACCTCCCATGTTTCATCTGACAAAAAAAGAAAAGAAAAAAAACTGGAGTTATTGTATGTATATATATATATATATATATATATATATGTGAAATTCATATGCTGATTTTTTTGCTGATCAGTCAAACTGGTTAATAATCAATGTAATAATGTGTAACTGTTGGAGTTCTTGTGTTTCTCTTTCCTTCAGTGAGTCTGCTTGTTAACAGCAAGTGTTCATCACTAATGCTCAATCATCACTTAATTATCTCATTAACTTCTACACTGCTTCTGTGTTACTTCAACACTCTGGACTGTCGATACATCTGCACACTGAGCAGTGTTAATTTAACACTGGGGATTTTGCTGTGTAATCATTTTATTTTTTTTCAAATAGATTATGGCCAACTGAACACTCGATTGCCTACAAACATTGGAATCAGTAAAGTGAGAACCAATAGCGGTTTTAGGCACGGGCAAACCGGGCAGTCGCCCAGGGCGGCATTTCTTCATGTCACATGGGGGGCGGCACGAGCAGTTAAAAAAAATCCTCTGTGCTGCGAAGGTTTTCTATTTTTTATCATTTCGATTCAATTATTGGCAATGGCACCCCTGGTTGCTGAAAAGGAGCCGTTCACAGAAGCGATGTCAAGAGGGTATCCTGATTAGTTCACGTATCACGTCTTTTGCGGGCTCGAGGTCGTTATTTCAAATAGGCGCACGCACGGGAAGCGCGCTCATTATTCGCTCACGGGAAGCGCGCTCATAAACTTTTCAGCACGTGCACCCAAACACTTGGGTGTTTTTCTCTTCTCCGTAAATAAATCTTTTAGTAGAGCTACAGCAAGGTGGTCTCGCCCTGGGTGTAATTCAAAGTAGAACCGCCATAGGTGAGAACTTACCAGTCGGGACTTGTTGATTGATCTTGTTCATTGATCTTTTGAACACGTAAGAGAACGGACCATGTCCTCGATGAAAAAAAACAAAAACAATTAGACATTCATCAAATCTTATTTTATGTAAAAAGTATTTAACACATAGTATTTATCATATATGATGTTGATAAGTCTAACAAACTGTCAACATTTCAAATTAAGGCCATGTTTACACAAAGCCGGGTATTTAGAGAAACAAATATTTCCCCTGCCTCTGTTTTTACTGATAACATTGTGCACACACCCGCATAATACGCCGTCGAGCAGCATCATATCTATGCCAAACCTGTGGGTGGCAGTGTAGGGAGAAGGATAAAGCCATGCAAGCCAATCAGAATCCACAGAATCGACAAGAGAGAACCTAAAACCCTGTTTCTCCCAGTTGACACGACAACACATGACCGGCGTTTTCAGAAATCTCCACTTTGGCCAGAGTTTTTAGAAATAATTGTGTGATAAAAACATGATTTTTTTGTAAATGAGAAACTAAACCACAGAGAAATATCTGCATTTTCCCTTCGTGTAAACGGGGCCTGAATGGTCTCTCCATTTCTTTAAAGCAGGGATTGGCAAACTCGGTCCAGGAGGGCCAAAGACCTGTAGAGTTTAACTCCAACTCTAATTAAAGGAGAACTCCGGCGAACAATGAACCTTTGGTCTAATAAAACATCAGTACATAGTCAACCGTTCTCTGAGATTTGTTTTCATGATAATCGAATGTAAAGAGTTTTATCTCTAAAAACTGTTTAGCGTATAATGCTAGTAATGGGGGCATTGACTAAGTAAAAAGAAATTGCTAGTTTATACCACTAACAAGGCTCAAAATAGCCCCACACTAACACAGTAACATAATGAGGGTCCATACATGCAAAACGAAGCATTGAGAACTTTGTAAGTGTAAAGACCGTTTAATAAGAAGATACTTTATGAAGACAGTTCACTTCGCGTATACAGACAGGAGCCATCTTAAAAAATAGTCTCGATAAGTCAAACCACGAACGTCGTGCTGAGTGATCTGAACTGTATTAAGTTCAGTGAACTTCTGAACTGTATGAACGGCGTTCGGGGATCGACTTAGAGACTTTTTTTTAAGATGGCTCCTGTCGGTTGACTAGGTACCGATGTTTTATTAGACCAAAGGTTCATTGTTCGCCGGAGTTCTCCTTTAAGCGCAGAATTTTGGAAACGGGTTTCAAAGTGCAAGTTTTTGATAACGGTCTCTGTGTAAACAACAGAAAGACAAATCTGTGAAGACGATGATGTCATGCATATGCACGTTACATGTTCAGTCTATAGTGTTTCATTGCCATCTAGTGGCCTGGCAGCAGAATACAGTGTTTTTAATCATTTTCGTGGATCCGTGTGAATGCGGATTGTTTTGAAAATGGTGTCAGCCCAAAAAGAAACCTACATTTATTTTGCACTAAAAACTTTATTGATATTTAAAACATATTTAATTCATTAAAATAATATGTATTTTATTTTACCATCATTAAAAAGCACAATATAACACAATATTTATAATTAAATTATTAATTTTCACTTTATTCATTAAAATCCATAATATCAATGTCATATGCTGCAGTTATAATAGTCATTACAATTCAAGTCTTATCATAACTGGTTTAACCTGAAAGTCAAAATGTATATAATATCACTCAATATTACTATTAAATACAATGGTAATGCTGTAAATGAGTCTTAGTTGCCGCGGCCTTCTCTTATAAAATAACCTTTATATCATAGTAAAATCTACAAATCATTCTCAACATAAGTATTGTTTAGCGTAAAACTTGTTGAAGATTAGTGGACAGGCAGTCAATGATAAGTTATTTCCTCATAAAAGTGTTTTATTCAGTGTAGTGAAACCTCTTCTCCATTGGCATCCATTAGAAATAAAAAACTGCTTCTCCTCCCTTCTCTGCGTATCAGCACATCCACAGAGAATATTTAAATACATATATTTTCCACTAAAAGTAGATGTTTCTGGCACTCACCTAAATTATAGCACAGAGCAGCAATTTGGACACACAATATGTCGTTATCCAGTATCTTCTGCTTCTCCAGAAGATTTTTCTGTTTTTCATCCTCCAGCTTCTGTTTTTTATTCTTATGTTTCTTTTTAAGATCCTTCTGGTTCTTTTCAAGATCCTCCTGTTGTTTCTCTTGCAGAACTTTGAGCAGACGTCCTGCTAAATATGCCGCACTGAACAAACAGTCAAAACATCATTTTAAACAAACCACAGGATACATCCAGCTTTTACATTGTTTGATCAATTTAGAATAAATTAGAACAGGGTGAGCAATGTTTTGTGAAAAAAAAATGGGAAAAATATTTTTCTCACAGCAACACCCAAATTAAGTTTAATATTTTATTTCAGTTATTTTACATGGTGCTTTTAAGCGCACAAGAACAATGTAAATACATTTTAAATATAGAAATAAATGACAAAATAGGAGAGATCAAGGGGGAAAAATATTTTAAGAATTAAAACATGGAAGGATATATATATATATATATATATATATATATACCTTTATAGTTCCAAAAATGATCATGTGTATATTCTCCTAATTTGCTTTAAAACTTTATTGCTTCAATTTACTGTACCCAATGGAGTGTTCGAAGCGAGTGTGAGTGGCTCCCGGATACACCAGATATGTTCCTCCCAGTTGTTTGATGTTTCGGAGTCTCTGAAACTGAGGAGTGTCGATGATCTTCACCAGCAGGGGGTGCAGCGCAATCTGACCATGAATCGGGTCCTGGAAAATCTACAGGATACGAAAGAGTAAATTATATGCTGTTCTCAGTTTAGAAGAGGAAAGGAAGTGCATTTGTGAGGTTTCGGACAATATCAGCATTTTTTCATGACTTTCATCAAGGACAGCAGAAACTATGAAAACATATTCTATTAAATAATTCATTAATTTAGAACATGGACTAATAGAGCCATTTCCAAAGCATCTCTAAACTGTGTTCTCATCAATCGGTTAACCTTATAGGCTATTTGTTATGCAATAAAAAAAATGTAATTAACAAAAAAGCCACTGTACACTGCCATTATATATATATATATATATATATATATATATATATATATATATATCATTATATATATATATATATCTATATATATATATATATATGCAGAGACACAGATTGTCACTATATTTGCACATGTTAAAACACTGTTTGTTGAGTTTTTAACTGTCTAAAGGATTTAGCATCATGACATGTTTTTGTTGGTGGCTTCTGTTTTTTTAGCAAGGTGTTCGTTTTTTTATAGCAGTCCAACATATTAATCCTAAACAATTAAAAAATAAATCAGCTTTAATATCTTGGTGCCATTTTAACTTTTACCTTGTGAACAGAAGTTTGATCTTTATCCTCTTCAATAGCAGCAGGAGCAGCGGCACCATGTGTCGATGAACTTGTTTTTTCGCCTGCAAGCGTCATCAATTTTTGTGAGTGAATGCCAATAGGTCTGTGTTATGTCTCAAAATAATTCATTAACAGGCATAAACTTGAGAAGAATCAATTTTTTCAAAGCAAAATTTATCTCTTAAATCTAATTTGCAATATGTGTTTAGGTCTTCCTCTCACTGTCACTGGAGTCATGCTGATCAGACAGATCTTTATCCTCCCACACTGCAAACATATAAAAAAACACAATAAATATAAATATATGTTTACAGCATTTTCATGCAACATGCCTGATTTAATCCTGGATTCCTGGATTCCAACACACTGAAAATAGTGCAAAAGGATTTTTGATGAGGACAAGTATAGTGCTAAAATATAAAATACAATGAAAATTCACCGATACAGTAACAGGTAATAAACAGAGAGTATATGTTCACTTAGTTTAAAAATTAACTGCAGCAACACGGTGGAACACAATACACAAAAAATAGAGCAACATCACCTTTTTGATTAATCAAATATTGTGAACAATCAAACAAAAAAAATCACTGACAGGTCAAGTGCATGTATGTACTTAACACAGAGTGAATGTAATTCAGTGGCGGGAGGGAGAGGGAAAAATAACTTTTTACTCATAAAGTAATGAATGACAATGAAAAGATGGCACTAATGTATACTCTTAAACAGAAACAGATGCGTATGTACCCTACATTAAGAAGACGGTGTGTCACTAATGAGATGGGTGTGCCTGTCTCCCACTATAGTTTGTCCAGTCTTGGCGTGATGGATAATAAGCAGACTCTAAGATCATTCTCCACATGGAGACGAGCTCTGTACTTCGTCTTCATTGCAGTCAAAGTTGAGAAAGATGACTCGCAGGGGCATCATTTTCATTTTAGAGGGGGCTAAGCCTAGCCTAGAAATCTAGATGCACCCTAGTGGCAGCAAAAATTATTTTGCATCCAGTGTGGAAAACCCAGATGACTTTTCAAACCCAGATTTTGTAGCCTACATTGAATTATCTCATTAACTCTGATGCTTCAGTGTTACTTTTAACACCCTGCTGGTAGTTTCCACTGTGCTGAAAGTCTTTTAAAAATCAAGAAGTATATTGCCTACAAAAATTACTCGATTGGGACTACAACAAGATACTTCCCGGGTTTTATATGTAACTAACCCATACATTTAAAACCAGGCCTTTATCACATTTTACCTGTTTAGGAACATGTATTAACTGTGAATTAATGCATCTGCTAAAATGTGTAAAATGTAAGTTAAAAAAAAGTATACAACTCAGATGCTACACTAGTACAGATATAAATACATGCTTAGAGTAGCACAATTTAAGTTACCTGAATCAATGAAGTCTTTATTTTTGCACCACTTATGAAAGAAGTTCACAGCTTTCTGCTGGATCTCCCGATTCTTTCGCTCAATCTCCTGATTCTTTCGCTCAATCTCCTGATTCTTTCGCTCATCGTCCTCAGTTTTCTGCTGGACCAGACTCTTCAGACCCTTTGGATTGTAATAGACCCTTACAAGCCATTCATGAAACTTCCTTGGCTTGAGACTGGACACCTGTAGGCACACACCAAAAACTACAGCAATCTGACAATCATGAGCTTAAATCTCTTAATAATTAATTTATTTTATTAGTGACTCAGTAAAACAGACAATATAATGCTCTAGAGATTCACAATCATGAATAATCATTCTGTATAAAAAATATTTCAGTAACATAATAATTAATATTTATATAATAAATAAATGTTGTACCTGGTACTTCTCCATCTTGAAGGCTTTGTTTTGCTTATTCTTGCTGTAAAAATAAACATTTTCAATGGGCTCATTCCCCACTTCACCAAATCCCATCTCAAGAACCTGAATAAGAAGAGATTTCCAATAGGATAGAAAGATAAATGTGAAAATGAAGAGGTACGAAATAGGCTTTTTTCATAATTAGATTTCTCCACTTAAACATACATGAATTTCAAAGTCCTTAGCTCTGGACGCCAGCTCGGATTTCTTCAATTCATCCTCCCAGCATTTCTCCAGCTGTTTCTGAAGGTTTTAATTGTAAATGGGCAATTAGACAATTACAATAAATGAAGTCAAATGAAATACACAAAAGTTATTCAGTACACACTAATACTCAAACGTTTGGGGTCAGTAAGATGTTTTTATTTCAAGAAACTAGCACTTTAATTCAGCAAGGACACATTAAATTGATCAAAAAAAGACATTTATAATGTAAGAAATACTTTCTAATTCAAATAAATGCTGTTCTTTTGAACTTTCTATTAATTCTATTCTTTCTATAAAAGTTAGGATAAACACTCTCAAAAAACATTTAAACATGTTTAGTGACAACATTAGTAGAACATTATCCACTAATATTATAAAGTTTTAGTGGGAAGTTTCCCAGCATACACAGGACTGAACCTCTGAAAAGAGTGTGTGTGGAAGTAATAGTTTGGTTTGGTCATTGTGGAGGTCAGTGTTCGCTTTAGTTGGGCTCTTCTTTGGCCTTTACTATTTGATGTTAGTTTTTCTCTGGTTGCTGTTAAGTGTTTGTTATAGCAAGAGACAATGTGATCAATGTTGTCTATTTACATATAATAAAAATATCAAAATATAGCGACGTGTTATCGTTCAGAAATTAGTCTCTGGTATCAAAATTACATGTTCATAACAATTCAGGATTTGTACAGTATTTTAATCAGAGTATTTTATCTAAACCCACTCACTCGTCGAGACAAACTTAAACCTCAAGAATCAGCGTGTGATCAGCGGGTTATCAACATACATGATACTTACATCATAATCATCAAGTAGCTGACATCATCTGATCATATTTTCTCTTACAGTTTTTGCCACAACCAGCAGTCAGGGAAACTCTAACATTTCAACATGAAGAGTCAAACAGCCCAACTAAAGTAATCACTGATCACCATAATGGTGACATCAACACAATTAATTTAAATAAATCATCAACATCTAAACTTCTGTTAATCTCAATAAGAACTTTTCCACACAAATGACAGAAGTAAATCTGGTTAGTAATGAAGCTGGTAATGCTGTTTGTGGAGTCCCTGATAGCATGTAACCATTGAAACAATGTTGAGTCAGTGTTGATGTGTCAACACTGATTACATTGAAATGACGTTAGAAAGTGATGTTGATTTAGCATCACTCTTGCACCCTCAGTTAGTATTGAAATAATGTTCAGATTTCAACCACATACCACTACTTCCTTTATATTTTTTATGAAATAGAGCAAGAAAGCAGTGTGCTTACTCAAAAAAAATGTGATGTTTAAACATAAGATTTATGTATTTGAATTGCATATCAAATTTCCATTCATTTGGATTACATAGTTTTAACATAAACCAATTAATAATCTGAATGTGATTAATTTTTTTATATTATGTTATTCCCTTAACTAAGACGAGTTGATACCTTTCTCGTCTCAGTGACGAGTGATGATATTACTACGCCGAGTCAAAGTGCTCCCAAGCACTTGCTGTGATATTCCACCATACATTATAGTTATCCACTTTACACGCTTAGAAAAGTGCAACGTTTTTGTAACAAAGTTCAGGGAAGAAGGAGGCAGGAACCGGATAATAATAATAAAATAAAACTTTATTTAAATTAAATAAACAAACAAATTACCTGCCAGCAGCCCCTCGCGGACGACTGCTGGCTACCCAAAATAAAACATAAATACCGGCCAGCAGCCCCTCACGGACGACTGCTGGCTTACCAAATAAAATATAAAATATATAACAAAATACAAAAATACATGGTGCTAAAATACAAATACAAACAAAAATATATATAAAATACAAACAAAAGCAGGCCTGTTCCTCTCTCGATCATCCACTCCGTCGCTCCCCCTTTATGGCTCCGCTCCTTCGTGAGAGATGCGAGACCGGTGTGCCTCGCAGGTGCTGCTCATTAGCAATCGCACCACCGGCCTCGCGACTTTCTCTCACGTCCCTCGGCCGTCCTGCTCACCACAGTTTTATTTTGTGTCACCGTCCTAGGTCGAGTTACTCTACTTGAGTAACTGTATTTAAATAGGGAAAACGTGGAGGTGTTTGGTCGCTTCTCTGGTTGGCCCATATTGAATGAACTGGAATAGTTAAGTGCCATCAAAGTGTCTCGCGTGCCAGAGCGATTGAGTGCAGGCACTGAGACGACAGAGGTATCTTAGTTAAGGGAATAACATAGTTTTATGAAAAAAACAGTGGAGTATCCCTTTAAAGTCAAAACAATTCAGAAGTGTCATTGTCACTCATAATGTGGTTATATGGAGAGAACGTGTTGAAAATTCAGCTTTGTTATTTGTGTGAATATATTGAGAAATGTAATTTATTCCAGTGATCAGTGAAATAATTTTTACAATATTACCTTTTTACTGCTTTTCTGATTTAATACACAGCCTTGGACACACATAAAACATTGCTGACCCCTAACTTTTGTACTATATAAGGCTTTTCTGTATTTAATAGTATGTCTGTGCTATGACTATAAACACTAACTAAATTAATCTGATAGTACTGACTCATATGTGAGCATCACATAAAAAGATGCACATTTATACAAACAACAAAAAACTACAATATACACCCATTCACAGATTAAATGTTGTTTAAATACAGGTACATGTATGAAGATAACCGTAATTTTTTTTTTTTTGTATATTTATAGGGGCTTATTAAACCATATTCATTACAATAAATGTGTACAATTAAAAGACTGAGCCATATAAAACTTACCTTATAGTCTTTGATCTTGGAAGCTTTAGGCTGGGGTTCAGATCTGTCCCCAAGTATTTGCTAAAGGATTTTAACAAATTAATCATATAAGCAAAAATTACATTAAATGAAGAAGTAAAACAACAATAATACTAATAATAATCTTGCTCAGCCAGTATGGCCTTCTGCTCTGCTTTGGTCCCTCAATCACACTTAGCACACATCTTTAGCACACATCTGCACGCATACACACACACACACACACACAGGGGATTTCCATGTTTTTCCATGGATTTTCCATAGACATAATGTTTTTTATACTGTACAAACTGTATATTACATCCCCTTACTCTAACACTTTCAGCATTTTTACATTGTTCACAAAATTTCCCCACAAGAATTTCTGGTATTGCCATCCCACATAGCAAATTTTTTCTGGCCCAGCTCCGGCCCACACAATCACTTTTCCCTCGGCCCAAATACCGCAAAGAATGACGGTACTGAAGTGGCCCAGAACTGGATTATAGACAAGGGTCACACATGGGCCATAACTGGCCCGAATCTCAGCCAGTTAATCACCCTTAACTGGCCCTGAACTGGGCCAAAATAGGTTTTATTATTGGTACCAATTCTCAGCCATACGTTAACCATATCGACACCACCCTTTAACCAGAAACCCCAAAATTGAGCCATAACCCAGCCTAATCTTACACAAACCATGTGAACCCAATCCTCGGCCCAAGTACCGCAAAGAATGACGGCGCTGAGGTGGCCCAGAACTGGATTAAAGACAAGGGTCACACATGGGCCATAACTGGCCCGGATCTCAGCCAGTTAATCACCCTTAACTGGCCCTGAATTGGGCCAAAACAGGTTTTATTATTGGTTCTAATTCTCAGCCATACGTTAACCATATCGACACCACCCTTTAACCAGAAACCCCAAAACTGAGCCATAACCCAGCCTAATCTTACACAAACCATGTGAACCCAATCCTCGGCCCAAGTACCGCAAAGAATGACGGCGCTGAAGTGGCCCAGAACTGGATTAAAGACAAGGGTCACACATGGGCCATAACTGGCCCGAATCTCAGCCAGTTAATCACCCTTAACTAGCCCTGAACTGGGCCAAAACTGGTTTTATTATTGGTACCAATTCTAAGCTAACCGTTTCAATACCACCTTTTCAAACCCCCAAACTGAACCATATCCCAGCCTAACCTTACCCAAACCATGTGAACAAATAAGTCACAGAAAAATTCTATATTTTATTCAATTTAAATTTTATTTAACAATAATACCACAAATAAATATTACACCTAGAATTGTGTAACAGTGTGAAGGCTATTTTATTTTGTACATTCCAAGTGTAACATCTTATTACAACCTGTAAAAGCCCTTCTTCTCACATTGCTCCTCTCATTGTAACTCCAATTACCAGCCATACCAACAGTCTGTCAAGTTTTCTGGCCCAACCAGTCCTGTAAAAAAAAAAAAAAAAATTAACATTGAAAATGCATCAACTATTCCAGATTTACCAATATAGGATACTAATGTAGCTCTAAAACTCATTTGTATTAATCATCTTGTTAGATCATGGAAAGTGAGTGCCTTAGGCCAGAGTTTCAACTCCTTATAGTCTTTAGAAATAAAATAACATCCACTCAAACAAACAGACAGGAATGGGGGAGCAACTTACAGTACATATCATCAATAATTAAACAATATGAAAGGAGGGGAAAAAGACAACTTTATAGAGTCGTTCAAATGAAGAAAAACATTGCCATGCGTCAATGGTTAGCAAATTGAAAAGTTGCCAATTGTTTATTGCATTTAAATTAACCTCTAAACATTACCCAGGTTGAGAACTATTGTTTTAGACAAAAAATAAAAATTATGTGATCAATTTCATTCATTCAATGTAGATATTTTAATATACAGTATTATTAGTTTCTCTCAATCGCCTACAAATATAGCATATGACTAGCAATACATGACAAGCAAAAATAAATAAGCAGTCTGTGATCACAAATAAAAAAAACATGTACTTTTCATGTGAAACAAGCCATGATTAGATTTAGATATCATACAATTATACAACCACTGAATCACTTTCAGCTTTAAGTCAATTGCGGTTGCTGGATTTGCTGTGATCTTCCTATAATTTTAAAAGCATTAACATTACATTGTTTCGCACACATGAAGCACCACGCCTCGCCTAGGACGTTCCGCACCGGTCTATCGCACATGATCGCACCCCGTTCGCGTCTGTATAGGCATTCTCATGTTCAGGGGCAACTGAATCAGCTACCAGGCAAAAGTTCACTTCAATAAAGAAAAAAAGTGGCATCCGAGTTTGAAATCAGGTATTAAAAAAGCGCCAAAAAGAGAGTGAACTTCACTTACCCGTACAGCGGTTGTCTGAGATGTCGTCTTCTTCTTCAATCTTCAGCGGGAGAAATTTCAAAAGACGCATCACGTGAACCAACCAGAAAAGCTGCTGTTACCATGGAGATCGCGCCGAAATAAAACAATAGTTGACTGCTGTTTTAAATAAACTGTTATTTCGAGAAAAAAAATCCAGATATTACATTTTTAACATGATTTTGTGGTGCTTAAAATAAAAAGTATGGAAAACTTAGACTTGGATGTGGATTTTTTTTTTTTTATTACAAATTTATAAAAAAAAAAAAAAAATTCAAATAAATAATAGGTTTAATACTTAAAAAAATCATAGGTCTTATACTTATCATGTTAGTAAATGTATATTTTTAATGATACAGCATTTTGTAAACATTGCTGAAAACTAAATGCTATATTTATTCATTATTAATCATTTTTTAAACAATTGGACATATATTTTTTCACTGACTCATTTAAGTCAATTTATATTATAATTATTTATTATTAAAATCTTAACACCTTTTTCAGAGGGGTCGGGGTGGGGTATAATCTTGCCTTGAAAATATAGTAGCAGGCTTATTGTCCAGTACACAGAATATGGCCCACAATCGCTACACTGATCTGGGCCACATACCTCCCATCCACAATCGGCCCAAAAGTTGTCTGCCGTCATGCAGTGCCATCATTGCCACACTTGGCCCACAGTTGGCTGACAAGATGTGGGCCACACACCTCCCATCCACAATCGGCCCAGAAGTTGTCTGCCGTCATGCACGCAGTGCCATCATTGCCACACTTGGCCCACAGTTGGCTGACATGATGCATGCCATTGCCGGCAACACGCCAGCAGTGCCATGATGAGGCCACATTTGGGCCAAGTCTGTTTGCTATGTGGGATCTATTTCATCCCCATAATATAGGGTTTACCAGGACACACACACACACACAACGCACCAGAGGTGCCAACTTTTGAGTTTAGCTTGGCGTTCAGCATTTCTAAAAGCTTTTGAAAGGAAAAAAGGCAGTCCTTAAAGTCTTTGACTATGGGGTGGTTGTTTTCTGTCATATTTGATGCATCAATGTGAAGGTCAAAGAAAAGATAATTGTGTAAAAGTTAACTTGTATGTATTTAAATCTTTTAGTAAAGATGTTATATCTGACAGTTTAAGAGCCAGGTAGCCTACCTTTAATTCATCTTCCTTCAGTCGGGCCTCTCCCACAAACTTTGGCAGCCGTCTGTTGAGAACGTCTCTCAGAATGCTTCGGGCTTCAGACAGGAGGTGTGGATGGAAAAGGTCAACATAATATTACTATATCTGTCTGAATACTTGATTCTGTCTGGCTGAAATTTGTGCATTAAACCTGCTGAATCCAGTCTTATGCACAAATATATATTTTATATTTATAGCCTACATATCAAGCAAACTTAAGAAAAGGCTGACACATGATGTAAATAACCATTTTGAATGGTTAGGAAAACTCAGATTAAAAGGAGATGATATGTCCTCATCATAAGAAATAAATCATAAATTACTTTAAAAAAAAAGTCCACTAAATCCGTAAAATTAAAAGAAAGTTAAAAAAAAATTGCCACACAGAAGTAAGAAACACAATTGCAGACATACTACAGCAGCACTTACCTGAATCAATGTACTCCTCTTCCTCACACCACTTATGAAAGCACTCCTCAGCTTCCAGCTGGACCTTCAGATAATCCTGATCGGGTATATTGTAGTTCACACTAACAAGCCATTTATGAATCTCTGACTTGGATACCTGGAGCAACAAGTGAAACCAAAAATCACACAAAAGGTTGAAAAGACTTTCCTAAACTATATAGAAATAGTTTAAATAGTGAAAAGAAAGAGGTAGTTTTACTGATCAAACCTACACAAATGACAAAGTCAGAAGCCGTCAGTTTGTACTCTTTGAGATTTTCCTTCCAGCTTTCACTAAGGATTTCCTAAAGGTTTTGGAAAAGTAAATCAGTCAAACATCCCGCTAAAAGAAAAATTGTACCAACAAAGTATATCTACAGCTTTTTAATATAATTTTTAGTGTTACAATCAAACTGTGAATCTGATGAGAAACTTACATGAAAATATACACAGTGATATTAAACAAAAGACACGGCATCTATTTCAAACGGTACAATATCATGGTTTTGGTTGATTTTCCGAATTACCTAAACTGACATGAAACCAACAAATGTAACAACATTGAGGTACAAGATAAATCGGGAGGCAACATCAAATCTTGCCAAGCATTTTTCAACCGAATTAGAGGTGCATCTAGTATTGACACCTACACAGCAAAAACTCCAGTATTAAATTAACTCCACAGTATATGAGGAGTATATGTAAGACCACATTCAAGAGCATGTGTCAAACTCCAGTCCTGGATTGCTGGTGGTGTGCTGCAGAGTTTAGCTCCAGCCAGCTCCACAACAACTGCCTGGAATTTTCAAGTAATAATTCCAAAAGATCTTGATTAGCTAGTTCCCCAGATAACAAGCCACCAGCGAAACAACGTTACACCAATGTTAAGTTAAAGGTGCTATATGGAACTTTTCAAAAACCCTTCAAAAACTTGCGTACACGAGCTGAGACCTGACGTTTGATTGTAGCCACCGTTCACACCCTACATTTTGAGTGGAAATGGCCTTACGCCCAGTTTTCTATCGGACGGTCGTTTCATAAATGGGGTTCAATGAGCTCATATATTATTCACGCTGTTAAGTATCACGATATATGAATTGTGGGAAGTCACTGTGATCATCGCATGATCTCATGTTTTGACCGGAGAGTAGTCTGAGTATGGAGCAATTCAGCAATCTTTTGAGGCTGGTGATTTGTAAACTATGGTATCGATTTAGTATTGATTCTGAGGCAATAGAATCCGGGCGGTATCATACCAAAGATACAATTGTGGTATTGAGCAAACCCCTATAATGGATGATAGATCCAATTAAATGCTTTTTCTGTACAAGTGGGTTTGGAAAAGGCTTATAAAACCAATCTTGAGAAATTCAAAATGATTAGATCATATCTATCTAACTTGAGTGTTTGTGAGAAACAAAGAATTTTTACCTTATACTTTTCAATCTTGTCGTCATCAGACATTCCCTCCAAGCTGGTCTCCAGTATTCTCTACAGGATTTAGAAAGGAAAATCATCAGTCACTTAAGAAAATGAAATGGTAAAGTAAAATAGATTTTTGTTTTTATTATTATTATTATGTATTCTATCTTCAATAACATATGCAGTGACTACTTCTGTCTAAAACCTAATAAAACACTGATGTGATGATGCTAAAACTTACATGTACAAACGCATAAAAGGACACATAACCATATACAATAGAAAACATAACAATTATGAGCAGCCCTGCATTAGAACTATATGACCAAAAGCTAACTCGCCATTGTTGCTCTGGCAGCCCTGAGTAGAAAGATCAGACAAGTAATAATTCTATAAAGAGGTTATTTCCCAGTTCTCTTTCCTTGTCTCCTTAGATCCCTGTGTCTTCTTCACTGTTTTATCAATAAAATCAGGAAATGCTTAAAAAATCCTGCTAAAAACCTTTTGGGCTTTAGAAGTATGACACTACAAACACTTTAATTCACTTTGTATTCGAGAAGATCTCTGCCAATCAAATTATTGTGAAGATGAATGTTAATACATTCAGATTAAAAAAATAGGTGTTAATTTTGTAATAGAAAGCAGGCTACCTGTAATTTATTTTCATTCAATTTGGCCTCTCCAACACACTTTTTCAGAAGTGTGTTTGGCTTGTTCAAGATCTGATCAAAGATGTGATCTAAAAGAGAAGTGGAAAAGACATAGATCAGTAGAATATTCGCATAGCACAACCATTTACGTATGCAGGTCATGTGAGTCAAGCTTACTGTGAATCCATTTTTCAACCAAAACCACTTATAACTTTTAGAGAATAAATATTTCCCTCAATTTCTAGCGATGTCTTATCTGACCTGTGAGTTTTGTATACTCCAGCATGTCATCTATGGCATGTGAGATCTCCAGCATGTCATCAGCAAGTACAAACGCATCCCTTATCCTAATGTACCGAAAGAAACAAACACACACCTGTGAACAAGGGTAAAATCTGGGGAGATATCACAATGCAAGCAGAAAAATTAAACAATTAAATTAGCCTTTTTCACACACACACACACACACACAAAAGAAATTACTTGACATCGATGATGTAGCCGATCTTGTGTTGAAGGGCCTGACGGTGAAGAGTGTATCGTGTGTGAAACATGCCATAAATGTTCTCTGCCACCTGAGAGAGAAACAAAGATTAACAGGCTAGAACACAGACAAGTGTATATTATTACATAGTGAAAGGTATAGTAAAAATTCCAACAACAGAACAAATTTATTTGCATTCAAGTCAATATTTTTATACAAGAGACAAGGTTAATGATGATTGATTAAAATTAGTGTTTTGACATACAATACATCCCAAGACGTCATATAACTGACGTCTTGTGACCATACGTCAACATCTGCCTTTTTAGGGTACCCTTAAACGTCAGTTAGATGACGTTATCGTATCCTAACTCTACCCCAGACTTAAACCTACCCCTAAACCTAACCCATCACCTAAAGCCCGGAACAAACCAAGCAGACGCCAACGAACTAGTGCTGATGAAAGCCAACTGTGTTGTCGCCTCTCGTCCCCTCTCGTCGAGGTAAAAAGCTGCACTTGAACACGCTGAGAAAACTACCGGCGACTGTCAGCTAGAATGTGTGTTCTGCGCCTGCGTGTAATGAGCCAACTGTCTATTTCTGCAGATATTAGTCTATATTCGTCATTCAAAAAGGAAAACCGACGCTGCCGACTGCAGATACACACAAAGTAAACAAAGCAGCGCGTGCTTACCTTTTTGAATATCAATCCTGCTAAACACTTTCTTTATTCCACTCCACTCATGTTATTGAAATATTCGCCAAGGAACACTCAGGTAAGAAGACGTAACATAAGAACAGCCTTCTATCTTTACCGTTTTGACTTCTTTGCTTGCTGTTTTGCGTTTATTCTCGTGCAATGACCCTTTTACTAAGCTGAACAGCCAATCAGAGTTCTCTCTTTCCCCAACGGCCCGACGCCGATTCAACATGTCGAATCGCGCGAAACAAAGCCGTCGAGGACTATTTTCAGCCAACGGCACGGAACTAATAATAATAATAATAATAATAATTCATTACATTTATATAGCGCTTTTCTTGGCACTCAAAGCGCTTTACATAGAGGGGGGAATCTCCTCAACCACCACCAGTGTGCAGCTCCACCTGGATGATGCGACGGCTGCCATAGTGTGCCACACCAGCTTACGGGTGGAGAGGAGACAGTGATGAAGCCAATTGGTATGGGGAACTGTGGGTATCACACCGAGGAGACTTAGTTGGCCGACGCATAAAATCTGCCAGACGGCCGACCGTCAGCTTGGTGTGTTCCGGGCTTAACTGACGTTAAAGGTAAAGCGTCAGTTGTATGACGGCCCGGGATCGTCATGTAACCGACGTTTAAGGGTACCCTAAAACGGCGAATGTTGAAGTATGGTCAAAAGACGTCCCGAGACGTCAGTTATATGACATCTTGGGATGAGACTGTGTTACCTCAATAGTGTATTTAGCCCTGTAAATGTGGTTAAAAATTAATAAATATTATAAAAATCAGGTATTTGTGGAAATTGCAGTAACTTGCAAGAGACAACTTCTGACTTTGAGCACACAAATGCGTGTGTCGTTTATTTCAGTATAAAAAAACAACCAGAAAACAAGTGGCGCTGACAAGCGTCTTATGTCATCATCCATACAGAACATTTAAAGGGACCATGATCCCTGAACTGTTGTGGAAAAATGCTAAGAACAAAGTGAATTTATCACCGACAATGTATAGAACTACATTTAACACAAAGGTGAATTATGTACGTCACAGTCACTACACGCGTCCCCCCAGAATTCACCGTATCTGAAGAACCAAACTGTCAATGGGGAGGTGGGCGTATCAACCGACCACAACGGCGATGTACAGAGTTTGAGGAGACCTCACTGCAGCCGGTATCCCGTCATGACCCGGGTGTGGGGCATGGAGAGTTGGAAGTTTAGGAGCAAGGGGTGGAGGCATAGGAGGAGGCCATCTGCTGTGTGGGGGCTGGGCCAGGTCGATGGGCTTGGCCACACCCAAATGAGTTGGTTTGAGGCGGTCAATAGAGAGTCGCCCCAGTTTGCCGCCTCAATCTACCACAAAATGTTAGTCCCCCGTCTCCAGAACCCGGAATGGGTGGACGTCGTGGTCCCCTGTGGGCTTCATGGCGAATAGAAACATAGTCAGCCATCTGAAGTCCAGCAAGGATATGTCCCCACGGAGGGAGGCCATGAAGGGAAGTAGGGACAGGTTTGAAAAGCCTTGCATTATACTGTAGAGTATAGACCACTGGAAAGTAGCAGACCAGGGAACCGTGGCACTTGGGACAAACTCCCCTGGTACCCGCAGTGGCTGTCCATAAAGCTCTGAAGGTCCTCCTTTGGCCCAGTACTGATGACCAGCATCACCCATGGGAGCATGTTGACCCAGTTGCTGTCTTTGAGGCTGGCACGCAGGGCAGCCTTCATTGACCTAGGAACATTTTCACAGAGTCCATTAGCCTGCGGGTAATATGCGGTCGTGCAGAGGAGTTTCACTCCGAGGCTCTGTGCGACAGCGTCCCACTGCTCAGGTGCGAACTGAGTCTGTCCGAAGGAGTGCCAAAATGGGCAACCCAGCCCAGGTGCCAATAAATGCCCATGTCATCTCTACAGACACCACTGATGTCAAATGCACAGCTTCGGGCCAGCAGGTGGTCCTGTCAACCATGGTGAAGAGATATGTGAAACCGTGAAAGGAGGGCAGAGGACCGACCAGGTCCACATTTTCATGGTCAAATGTCTCTCTGGAACCGGGAACAAACCTAACTGGGGCTTGAAGGAGAACTCCGGCGAACAATGAACCTTTGGTCTAATAAAACATCGGTACCTAGTCAATGTTTCTCTGAGTTTTGTTTTCATGATAATCGAATGTAAAGAGTTTTATCTCTAAAAACTGTTTAGCGTATAATGCTAGTAATGGGGGCATTGAGTAAGTAAAAAGAAATCGCTAATTTATAGCACTAACAAGGCTCAAAATAGCCCCACACTAACACGGTAACATAATGAGGGTCCATACATGCAAAACGAAGCATTGAGAACTTTGTAAGTGTAAAGACCGTTTAATAAGAAGATACTTTATGAAGACAGTTCACTTAATATATGAATATATTCACTTAGTAATATATTACAGTCTTGCTCTCTTGGTGAAGAACCAAAACAAAACAAAAAAAATCATACAAACATCAGTAATGAAATGTGATTTATCAGGTACCTTGTCTCTGAAGCAGATGTGCTTCCTCTTGTTCACTTCACACACTCGAGCAGATTTCAGCAGACGCTCATGGTCAAAGGCTGTTGGAATGCCAAGATAATGACAATCCCTGTACATTGGAGAGAAAAAAAACAAATGCAAATAGTTGGTGGAGCACTAAAGTATTTACAGTTGGCCATATTTAAGGTTGTTCTTTATAGTTCTTATCTTCAAGTGTTCTGTCTTAGCCTGGCAGCTTTAGTCAGTAAGGTCAAGCCGCTGGGTAATATTTAATTTAGTAAAATCCAATATGGCAAACATTCTATATACAACAAACTCACAAGGAATCTCCAATGAGTCAGTATTTTTACCATAAAGACTGCCAAAGCAGCAAGGGCATATGATTATAATACTATTTATACAGCTTACCGAGCCAGATAGTCCCATTTGTCCACATCAATGCCATTCAGTTTGTTTGCAACAATCTCATACAGAAAAGACTTGTCTTCAGTTCTGCCCTTCATTGACCACTGCAATATGTAAAATATTTTCAACCTGAACACTGTATCCTGATGAACACTGACTGAAATGGCACCTTTAACCCATTTTTACCTCTTCCTCATTTTGCCCTTTCAGAATTAATTCCTCAATAAATTTGATGTCTTCAACCAGATTCAGTCCATATTGTTCCATCTCTTTGTCCAGTCCATTCTTCTTTCTCATGCAGTTAAACATGCCGACAGAGGCGTTCTCGTGCTTCAGAAGATGAACATAAATGCATATCAAGATGCAATTAAAGTGAACATATAAACTAAATAACTATGCTTAGAAGTCTTTTTTCTAATGTCCTTTTTCTTACAATATTACCCAAATGAACCATCAAGGGACAATAATAGCCTTATAATGATTTAAAAACAAATTTGCAAAAAATATTTTAATGTTTCGTATAGTCAATCATAATATAGACACAGCCACTTTTACTCATTAAGAGATTTATTCATGAGGAAATAATTTGATTTTACAGTAGACATGATACTGGAGCTCACATACTCACATACAGTATGTGATGTATCAGTATACATCAGTATATACATCAGCATATATATATTGCTGTAGAGGAGGGTTATGATGCTTACCTCCCAAGTGGACTCTGAAAAATAAGAAGAGATTTTAGGTAAGGCAGGTTTAATAAAGTACCTATGTACACCAACTCATTTAGTGAAGATGGTTTGACTGTCTCAGTCTCTCCCCAGTTAACAGAATTTTGTTATAAGAACGATCTCTAAATATTCAGTGTTGGTTCTGGGAACATGGAAAATATCCAGTTTTCTGGATATGTTTCTGGATATAATGTTCAGGATATTTCTCAATATCCAGAACATTATACTTTTTAAAACACAGAGGAACGTCTTTTAAAAGGTATAATGTTCCTCAAATGTTTTTTAAATGTAATTTTCGATTAAAAATTCAACATGATAGTAATGTTGATTTCTAGCATTCCAAAAACATAAAAATGTCCAGTTTCCGGAATGTTATGAGAGCATTCTTGCTTTAACACATCAAATTACAGGAACATTTTATAAAATACACGTTGATTTGATAATGTTCCTCCTTTGTTATTATGGAATATTGTATAATCTTTTATCTCAACAACTTTCTCAAAACATCCTCAATGTTACAGTTATATCTTAGTTTACATTTAACCTTATAGAAGCATTATTTGAAATGAGAAAACATCTTTAAAACATTATCTAAACATTTCTATAAAACATTAACCAAATAGGGAATGTTAGCCATTATGTTCTGAGAACGTTCCCTGCTAGCTGGGGAAATGACTGAAGTGAAAAAACTCAGAAACTCACTAGACTTTACAACAGGAATGAACATGCCATCAAACAAATGAGAGAATGGACCATGACCTGAAACGACAAAAAGGCAAATACTTTTCAATTTTACCTTTTATGATTTTTTTCTTTTTTTTTCATATGTTGACTATGAGACTATATGAGAAATTATACTTAGTTTTGGAGTGTATTTGGGGTGTTTAAAAAACTTTAATGTTGGAAACTTCTCTCAAACTAATAAGATAACTCTTTTCTGAGTAAATATTCACATGTTAGTAATACTCACCCATATCATGACACAGAGCGGCGATCTGAACACACAGGAAATCTTGTTTGGTAATGTTGAGTTCAGGCTGATTCTCATCAAGACGTCTGAGAAGACATCCAGCTAAATACGCCACACTAACACACACACACACACACACACACACACTAAAGTCATTCTGTTTAAAACAATGCAAAGGTTAAGACTCAAAAAAAAAAAAGAAAAAAAATTACCCAATGGAGTGTTCGAAGCGAGTGTGAGTGGCTCCCGGATACACCAGATATTTAGTTCCCAGTTGTTTGATGTGTCGGAGTCTCTGAAACTGAGGAGTGTCAACGATCTTCACCAGCAGGGGGTGCAGCTCAATCTGACCATGAATCGGGTCGTTGAAAATCTTCAGGATAGGAAATCTTATTATTTATTTGTTTGTTTGTTTGTTTATTTATTTATTTATTTATTTATTTATTTATTTATTTATTCATTCATTTATTCATTCATTTATGTATTTTTTAAAACTGACCTAAAGAAAATGTGCATAAAATATTTTAATAAATCGTTAGCCTACTGATTGGAATTACTGTTTAAAATATTTATCTTGAAACAGAATGGCTTTAAAGGAGAACTCCGGCGAACAATGAACCTTTGGTCTAATAAAACATCGGTACCTAGTCAATTGTTCTCTGAGATTTGTTTTCATGATAATCGAATGTAAAGAGTTTTATCTCTAAAAACTGTTTAGCGTATAATGCTAGTAATGGGGGCATTGACTAAGTAAAAAGAAATCGCTAGTTTATACCACTAACAAGGCTCAAAATAGCCCCACACTAACGCAGTAACATAATGAGGGTCCATACATGCAAAACGAAGCATTGAGAACTTTGTAAGTGTACAGACCGTTTAATAAGAAGATACTTAATGAAGACAGTTCACTTCGCGTGTTCATACAGTTCAGATCACTCAGCACGACGTTCGGGGATCGACTTATCGAGACTATTTCTTAAGATGGTCTTCATAAAGTATCTTCTTATAAATGGTCTGTACACTTACAAAGTTCTCAATCCTTCGTTTTGCATGTATGGACCCTCATTATGTTACTGTGTTAGTGTGGGGCTATTTTGAGCCTTGTTAGTGGTATAAACTAGCGATTTCTTTTTACTTACTCAATGCCCCCATTACTAGCATTATACGCTAAACAGTTTTTAGAGATAAAACTCTTTACATTCGATTATCATGAAAACGAATCTCAGAGAACGATTGACTAGGTACCGATGTTTTATTAGACCAAAGGTTCATTGTTCGCCGGAGTTCTCCTTTAAATTTTAAATAACTACAATACATAGCTATTTATTATTTAAAATAATTTAGGAGAAATATTAATTGTTGCACAATTGATCATTATTTGCATTGGTCATATTGTACGCTAGTGTTAAAAATAGCTATCAAATATGTGCATGTGTGATTGATTCAGCCCATGACATCAATATCACTCTACCAGGAAGCCCTGCAGTTAGTTAAACAACACATATTCATATTCATATGACTGTAATGACAGTTAGGCTCCAGTATATCAGGAAACGTTCTCCTCTCATAGACATGCATCACTTGCCTTCATGATGTCCTTTGAAAAGTCAAGGGAGTATTTCTGTGAGATCTTTTGCAAATCCTCAATGATTTGTGTCTTTCTTTTCTCTGCGGAAAGACATTTTGTCTTTTAGAAATACTTTCATAGAAATATTTAGTGTCGGCTAAAAAAGCAGTAGCCTTAACAATAAGCAAATATTAGTGAGGGTTCATAAGTGATAGTTTTCAAAAATCTTAGAATGGCAGAAAAAGGTTTGCACATGTTCATTTACATAAACTGAGAACGAATTTTAAGCACATCCATTTTCTTAAGTTAAGTCTAAATCCTGGAATAATTTATTCAAATGTATGAAAAATATAACTGTGGCTATTTTCCCTCCATCATAAATAAATTTGTCTCTAAGTGTCAGACTAAACACAATAAACAGGGAATTAAACCAAATTATTCCACAGACTTTGACTCAGGTTTCAGATACAGCACACAACATTTGAGATGATGCGATGCCATTGGTCCACCAATCAAATGCATCACTGTGGGATTGTTTAGGATTGTGGGTAATGAAGTACTTATCCAATACATCGCGAATAAAAGGCATTTATCTTAAAACAAGGTTAGTGCCCCATGAACTTTTGGCATTTAAATGAGCATATACAATCGCTTAGTACAGCCATAGCTGGTTACCAATGGTTACGTTTTTATGGCTTATATCCCAAATCAATGGAGAAATTATATTGAATTTTTACTTCCGGCACCGGCTGTGTGCGGGACTGTGATGCTCTGTAGGCTTTATGCATGATCGCTTCCGCGTTTTGTCTCAATCCACCCAGTTACTGCGTCAGAAGCTGGTTTTGCATTACGTGGAGATAATGGCAAATTACACTCGCTGTTTACAAAAACTTCCTGCGGTTAACGTTAATGATGTTAACAACACTGTGAGGCAGTTAGCTGTCACACATAAGAGTAAAAAAGAGAAGGGCTTTAAATGAAATATTTCGAGCTACATCAACAACTTGGAGGGTGAGTCTCTCATATCGTGTGAAATCCGACTAGCGAATCAGTTTTTAGAATCGTTGTATCCGTTTCGGAGAAAATTAATTTTATTAAAGTTTTGCCACTATACACTTTGCCTGCGGAACGCACTATACGGAAGTAAAGAAGCTGGCTGAGATCCTACCGGACATCCGTTAGCAGGGTTCGTGCATAGAGCCCATTGCGCAGTAAAAAAAAATAAAAATTGATGCACAGAGGAGAACTATTCACACAAACACGCTACCATTTGGTTGTGCTTCTGATTTGTAAAAGTTATTTAGTAGGGGAAGATATTTTGAAGAATGTACACATGTTTGAAGAACCACTGACCTAGGAGAAAAATTTAGTGTTTGCTTCCAAAACTGTTTGGTTACAAACATTCTTTAAAGTATCTTTCTTTGCGTTTATCGGAATAAAGACATTTATAGAGGTTTGGAACAACTTGAGGGTGAGATGACAGAATATTCATTACTGAGCGAACTATAATGGGACAAAAACATTTACTAGTCTTAAAATTGGGTTGTGAATCGAAACCTCGCAATCCATATTTATAATTGAATAGGTAACTCTTTATTACATTCTTATGTTTTGTTAAAATGTAATTTGTAAAAAAATAAATAAACAAGTGTAAATTTCATCAAGTGAAAACATTACCTTTATTTTTCTTGTAAGTCATCTTTACGTCACAAAGAGTGTCACAAAGAACATCTGCTACATCTTCAGACATGTTCACTTCTTTGTCGTCGTCTTCTTCGTCGTTGCAAAAGAGGAGGATGATAATGAGCATCTAAAGAACTGTGTAGAGATTTTATAGATTCACAGACTCAACCCACTTCACTACAGCATGCCATCAGGAAGCTTAGACAAATGTATGGGTGTGTCATAAAGAATTGATCATGTGCTTTAGATATTTGAGTAAAGGTAATTAAGCTTGTGGC